CCCACTGCCCAATTTAAACGTGCGGCGAGATCGATCGATCGTTACAACTCTCTGCGCGCCTAGTAACGATCGATCGATCTCGCTGCACGTTTGAATTGGGCAGTGGGCCGGCCTAAGACAGCGATTTTTAATAATTAATAACTCGTTAACTATTGCAAAACCTGCAAAGTGGTACAGGACTTTTCGACTTAGTCTAATCCACTCTATCCCACAATAAGCGTTGATGCGGGTATTACATAACACCCTGTATAGCTAGTATCCTATCGGTACAAAATGGCAAAATTTAAAGTGCAAATTTCAATTTTACATTCCGCGCGTTGCGTAAAAATCACTATGCTATTCGCATAAAACAACTTTTCATTTTTATTATTAGATAAAATAGCAACAAGTTTGCAAAAAACTTGTCAACTTTTCCCAGTGTGCCTTACTCATCTCTCATTTTGGCATCTGTCAATCTGTTCGGAACGTTACTAAATGGGCTAAATCTGCTTCCAATTTCGAGAAGACAAAAGAGACGCCTCGGCGTACCTTGATACCGTCGGAGGCGCCGTTCGAGAGGATGATGTTGTGGTAATCGCAGGGGATACCGCCATCGCGGTCCTGGATGTACTGCGCGACGTCTTTGCGAACGCACTCGATACCGGCGGACTCCGAGTACGAGCCCACGCTGCCGCCCTTGCAGCCCCCCAGGATCATCCGGGCGCGAGCCTTCGCGTCCTCCGGGTAGCTCGGGTCGTCGAGCAGATTCGGCGAGACCGTCAGGGTCAGCACCTGCCGCAGGAACGTGATGGGTTGCTGGCCCATCGCGTGGGCATCGCCCACGTTCGCTTTGATCACCTCCTTGAAGGGTTTTTCAACGCCCTGCAAAGAGAAACGATCTTAGATCTCCGGTCGCGATCCTCGGATTTATTTTTCAAACGTCTCCAAGTGATTGTAAGCTACACAAACCGATTAAAACGAGCGGTGAAGTTTTACGCCTTATCCGAATCTTTGAAGCGGACCTGCAATTTTCGATCGCTTACAATTTTAATAAATATTTCCGTTTCAGCTGTTGTTTCTGAGAAAAATTGAAACCCTAATATGTGACATTCTTCAGTAAATTATAATGAAGTAAAGAATAATACTTGTAACAAAAAAATGACAAATATTTTTATATGCGTATCTCTGAAGCGAAAATGCAACTCATTTCCGATCGCTCACAATTTAAATAAATATTTATATTTCAGCTGTTGTTTCTGAAAAAAATCGACACCCTAATATGTGTCATTCTTTGGTAAACTAAGGTCGGTATTCATAGTCAGATCTTATATTCAATACCGTCTTAAGATCATCTTTCGATGCTCCATAGCCAATGAAATGTTCCATGCAGCATCTTTAGATAAGTTCAAGGCGGTCTTGAATATAAGACCCGACTATAAATACCGGCCTAAGTGAAGTAAAGAATAACAGAGGACAGTCCTCTATTATGAGATAGGTTTCTAATATGAGATAGTAGGTTTTCAACACCCAAATTCAATCGCAAATCTTCTTTCGCAACTATTACACGATCTAACAATGAATTTTCCACTAAACAGATTTCCTCCGGATTTGCTCCAAGGGCAATAAATTACGATGCCTAGTAATTTAACAAAAACCCCGCTATCCCATATTAGGATCCTCTCGCATAACAGAGAATTTTCCTCTACTTGTAACAGAAAGATGCGAAATATTTTTATGCGCGAATTGTATACGTATACGAGAAATACAGATTATCTGCTAGAGGAAACAATTTCAACCTGCTATACTGGGTAAACTTCGCACTGTGCAACTACGTCATCGGCGAGCGTTACGCAATTGTATGTGAAACAGGCGCGAGAAACGCGAGAGCACGCACGCATAGCAATGGTGACATTATTCAGCGCATAATTGTACCGATGAATAAAAGGCGTCTCATTTTTCCAACAAACCGGTCGTTCGCATACGGGAGAAGTTGACACTCCTGTTTTTCAAACGCATTTTCGCGGATGCGAGACATGAAAAAAGGACCCTGGACGCGCCGTAATCAACGGAATCGGAACCGCGCGCTCTGAGCAGACGTCTCCGCAGAGGTGCGTTTATTTCGGATATACTCCGTACAGGTACCGCAAGAAGCGTCGTTCACGGGGAAAACGTGCTTCCGGGAGACAAAAGCCCCAGCTAGCACGGGAGATTCAAGGGAAATTCTTCCTGAATTCCCGGAATTACGAGGTGAACTCTTTTCCCGTCCCATTTCGGTTCTAAGAGCATTCTTAAAAGTTTAAAAAAAATTCGCTTTTATGTCACCAATTCTGAGAGCTCTTTTTCGGGCGGAAAAAGAATTCGCGCCCGGAAAGCTATTCCTTTGGAGCTTATTTCGAGCAGATTAGGCTAATTCGTAAAGAATTTCGAAAAGCGAACGCTTATCGAGTTCACAACGAACACTTGTGTTCCTCGGGAAGATTGCATTTCGTTTCCTCGCCTTCGGTCTTTTCGATTTCACGCAGACGAAAGTCCCCTATCATGGGATAGGCTCCTAATATGAGATAGCGGAGGTTTCTGCTAAATTGATCGGCATCATCTATTGGTTCCACCATGAATTCATTGTCCTCGGAGTGAAATCTGTTTAGCGGAAAATTGATTGTCAGATCGTGCGATCGTTTCGAGAAAAGATTGGTGATTGAATTTGGAAGTTGAAAACCTGCTATCTCATATTAGAATCCTATCTCATAATAGGGACTTTCCTCTGTGTCTTTTTCAGTAAAACTAATGCCCGCATTTTGTTTTCCACGGGTGTGCGTTTCTGTTAGCAGTAACGCAGCCGCGCGAGCCGCGTCCCGAGTCAGATAACGCGATAAGAGGCTTCCATATGGGTGCGAATTCGTGTAACGCCGGAATAAATGAGAAAGTCGTTCCGCCCGTGGCGATCGACGTCGTGACGGTCTCACGCTCGGCGACACGAATGCCCGAAAACCGATCACGGTGTCGCACGGGTGACGACATATCGACCACAGTTATGCGTCAAATTAATATTCCTCGTTCACCGATACGCATTATCGCACAGTCGCGCGTTAATCTTTACGCAGATAACAGCTCTGCACTGCACAGTTTCCGCGCTTTGTTGAAACTTTTCGTTTTCTTATCGGTAGAAGAAATAATTTGAACGAGCGCTCATTGGGTCGGCTCCAAAAATATTTATTAATCGCCGACAATTTACGCATTGTGCGCTCGCATCTATATATTTCGTTACGTGCGCGAGAAAATTCGACCGAATGTTTAGAGGAAGGTCCCCTATTATGAGATAGGCTTTTAACGTGGCACCGCAGGTTTTCAACGTGCCAATTCAATCGCAAATCTTTTTTCGCGACGATCCCACGATCTACCAATGAATGTTCCACTAAACAGACTTCACTTCAAGAGCAATAAATTCATGATGGTGGGACCAACGGATGGAGACGTAATTTAGATCATTTAGATAACTGGGATAAATATCTAGACAATGCTAATAATTCGGGAGAGATAATTTAGGTGAATACTCAAGGGTAGGTAACTTTGTTCTAACTTCGTCCTGTTCTACCGTTTTCTAAATTTACTCACTAAACGTCTTACTGATTTTTAAATTCTTCCATGCCTTTTCTGAAATTTCAAATTCTTCTATGCTAATTTATTACACGGCTCATTTTTCGAACAGATAACTGGCGCCCAAATCCATATTTTTAACAAAATGTAAATCACGCGCTCAATACTTTTTCATAACGCACGATTTTGCGTGTTTAAGAGCACAATTGGTCGTGGGTCCAATTGTGAGATTGAGATCTCTCCCCTGATTCCAGTATCGCTTCTCCCGTTAGCCATTGACCGCCCGTTAACGTCTCGCTTAACGTCAGGAATCCCATCCAAGATATCTCGCGTCGCTCCTCGACGACGTTTATCGCGTTTCGCTCATACGCGCAAACCCGCGGGCGCGCTTATCTTATCTGCCGCGCGCGGGGAATAAAGTTTAACGATTTTGAAATAAACATATTCTCCGCTCATCAAGCTCCATTCGCACTTCACAGTTCGAGTCTCAATTAGCGATTATTTCCCCCTCCTCCTCCTCCACCACCCCCGATACTTGGCGTTTCACCATGACAACCTTCGCGTGCCCGTCACCGAGCCCATCCCTCTCGCCCAACCCTCTCCTTCGGTTCACCCGACGTGCCCACTCGACGGAAGGTAACCGCAAGCGTTTCCGTGCGTCCCGTAATACGTCACCGCTATAATATGCACGCGCGTTCCTCTTTCGCACGCGCACAGGGACTCTGGAGGAAGCTCGTCCTCGACGACTCGGTTCACAGTGGACTCTTACCTTCTGCAGCTCCTTCTCGATCTCGAGCGCCCTGATGAGCAGCGGCCCGCGCACCGCGTACTCCATTTTACGCAGGTTCTCGAAGACGTTGTCCTCGGTGAGGACCTTGCTACGCGGGGCCGCCGCCGCCGCGGTCGCTGCGCTCGACGCCATGCCGCGACACGGAATAGCAGCCGGCTGGAGTAGCACGGAGGACACCGGCGCGTCTACCATCCCTACCCCTCGGCCAATCAGCGCCCCGCCGCCACCGCCGGCACTCTGTCTCGCCGTTGCCGCCGTCATCGTCCTCGTCGGCCAGCCGCCGGCGATCACGGCGTTCCGCAGACGCGCGTGCGACATGTCTACCGTCTAGTTACCCTCCTGTTTCTTTCTCTTTTCGACCAGTGAAAGTAGACTCGCCGCTCTCTCTTTCTCTCTCTCTGTTGCTTACTTATCACTCGTTAATTAATGATGAACGCGCTTTCTCTCCTCTACCGTCCGCGCTTTTCTCTATCTCGCGCCGCTCATCGCCGACCGCGCGCGCGGAAGGTACCTGCGGGTCGATCGTTTCCGCTCCCCGACCCCGCAGAGACGGCGCCCGCGAAATCGAGGAGGATCGAGCGAGAATCGACGTGCGGGAAATCGCGCGCGCACGCACTGTGTCACTCGAACGCCTCAAGAACGATCGTCCGCGGACTGCGGGCGAGGAGGGCGAGGGGGCGCGGGGTGGTGCGGAGTAGAACGCGTGGAGGGAAAAGGGGAGGACGCGCGCCGGCGATGCTGACGGCGAGGCGAAGTTCGATCCAAGTCGTCCACGCCACCTGCGAAAGCGCGTCGCCGCGACGTCGACGATCCGGAGGGGGCCCGCGCGAATACGAACGCCCGCAGAGGCTCGTGGTCCTGCAAAAGAAAGAGACAGATTGAAGCCGGACCTCGCGCGAACCTGAGAATCCGCTTTCCAGAATCTACCGCTCCGTAATAATGAATTGGAGTGAAAGTTTCACTCGAATCATCATGTCACCGGCCACTTCACTCCGCTCGAGTGAATTGATCTTGTAAGACACAAAGTGAAGAAGTTCACTTTTAATTTTTAAGCGAATTGATCTAAGACACAAAGTGAAGTTCACTTTTATTTTTTAAGCGAATTGATCTAAGACAAAGTGAAGAAGTTCACTTTTAGTTTTTTAAGCGAAGTCGTCAGGACTCCAGAATACGCCTCCAACTTGAAGTACGGCATTCAGCCGCTAGATGGCCGCCGAACTCGCAAGTAAGATCACGATAGCCCGTCACGGACCGGGGCGGTTATTTCGCGATTCAACATCGTGACGAGTCGGTTTCCGCTGGGTTGGCTAAATTTTGGCCCATACACCAGATACTAGACCAATGTTTAACCAATGTTTGGTCAATGCATACTGTGCTACTATGGGGTGTTGCCTTTGGGACAATTCTACACCGTTCGAATTGACGCAAAATGGAAAAGCACACTTAATGAAAAACGATTGATAGAAGAAACGTCGCTTTGATGTGGACGTCTTTCCGACCAATAATTTCTCGCTGAGATAATTGTATTTATACAACTTCGTGTATTCGAATGGAACGATCTCTCGCGCGTCGAAAGAAAATCGACAGTGGCTAGATCGATCGTTTACACGGAGATTCGCGCGATCGTCAAAGCTATCTACGCAAGGCAGTATCAATTTTACGATCTATTGTTGTGCAGATGAGTATTGGAGCATATTTAGGTCATTGTGATGATGTTCGATTATTTGTTCCATCGACCACGTCGCGAGACAATTGCGGAAAACAATTTCGCAGCAGCAGACGAGAGCATTATTTCGTAATATACGTGCGCTTATTTTAAGAACACTTATCTACACAACACAAATCACTTGAGTGTAATACCGTGCATATTTTGTGAAGTAAATTGCATTTATATCCGTTTAAACATGTACAGTGTCAGACGGTGAAAACAGTCGATAATGTCTGCGCTCTGTAATTATCGAGGATGGACGGTGGAAAGAGAGAGAGCTGGGGACACTGAATAGTCACGAAATTTATCCAGAATTTCTAATAGTATGTACCTTGTCGACGAAAACACTGATTACGAAACGCGCTGTATTCAGATATTCGTGTATCACGGTCGTAAAAATCTGCATAGGTAAGTGTAAGATGGTATTCATAGTCCATTTTTACACTCAACATTGCAAATCGGATGCTAAGGGATTTTAAAGCGCTGAAACATTGTTCCCTAGCGAAAACAATTTCTATAAATAACTACAAAAAATGACTTGAAATAGAAATTTGTAGAAATTTTTATATCTTCGTTGGAACATTTATTTCTTGTAAAAATATCTACGAAATAGTACCACAAATTGCATTGCTCTCAGATCACGAAATTATTGCAAGTAGCATTTCATGAAAATGTACAATATTGTAAAAATTAGTACAAAACTTTACTAGTTTTAAAAATTGGAGAAACAACAAAATCTTAATGAATTAAAACAGCATTTTTATATTGACTTTTATAACACTTTTTTAATTTACGTAAAATTTCCTAGAATCTTGCAGTTATATTTAATTTTTTTGTAAAATTTTGTAAAATTATTGCTGGAAGGGCAATGTTCGACAATGTGGAGAAGAATTAATGAGAAAAATGTAAGAGACAAATGCGGGAGACAAAATCTCAGTAACTATCTTTTTTTACTACCTACTTGATTTATATAATGTAATATGTTCGATAATGTATCTGATAACAGCGTTAGCTTTACTTTTTCTTATCGCGTTTTTTAGTGACATTGTATGTTTTACGTCAAAACAACGGAGTACTTAATGATCTGTTTATTTTATCTGCTATTTCCGAGGGGGAAACCGCTGACCAAAATCTTGTACACCAATGCCCACTAATGCCCAGTGGGCATTACTTTATCTTATTATCTTCATTTATCTTATTTATCTTGTTTTATCTTATTTTATCTTATTGTATCTTATTTTATCTTATTTTATCTTATTTTATCTTTATAATACCTCAGCAAGACGTAATGCCCCAAAAATGCCCTAGTAATGCCCGGTAATGCCGCAAATCTGTACACCACAATACCCTCAGCGGTTTACCCCTCGGCTATTTCTGTAATGATACTAGACAAGCAGACTTTTCCAAACAGAAAACTTATGTGCGACAAGTTTTACACAAGTGTATACATCGTAGCAGATTGCAGAAATATTGTGGCAACATTTATAAAAATTCATAAACTATTCTACTTTTTTTTCGAGGAAGAAACTCAGAAAGAAATTAAAAAGAAAATTAAAAAATTAAAAAGAACAATTGAAAGGAATACAAGCTGTAACGGAAACACTATTATTCCACGTGTCATTCAATTATCACAAGAACAGTTTACTTCCAATTTTAGTAATACTTATAATTTGTATTCTTATCACACATAATGCACCAAAGACTTCAATTTCCTTTAACCTGCAAGATAATAAAGATTTGAAACTATTCTAAACTGTTTAGAAGTAAACGGTTTGAAAGAATAACTTACGAAAGTACGAACCGTGTAACAAGGATGTTACACGAAAAAACGAAAGTAGAAAAATAAAATAGAACAAAAACGGTTCTTAATTCTTTAAAATGACAGTATCTCTCTTCTCAAGGCTATATCTTGAGATGACCTTAAATATAAGATCCCAGGTAGTATAGAGAATCTAAAAAGAATTCATTGTATTCAGAACAACTTTAATTTAAGTCGAAAGGTATACATGGAATCCTTTTAAAACTACCGAGGACAAATTCTTTTGAATTTATTTTTTTTTAAACAAGTGAATCCTTTTTAAATTCATAATGATTACCTGTACTATTTGAGATTGGTTTGTCATCTATGCAGAGTAGAAGAATATAAATGTAGAGAAAAATATTATCTCGAAACCCTTCGACTTTCGGTAAAAAGAATTGTTAGACGACATTAGGCTGGCGGTATATTTGTTTGATTCCGACGTTTCGACCATGCGGGTTGCGGCCCTTTTCAAGGAATTTAATAATCTACAAGTTTCTTAGAGGACGGTGCAACTTAAAAATGTATCGATTACAGCGTGAAATCAGTCAAATTACGAGCCAAGTGAAATTTTTTACTTACAAATACTACGTCATCGATATTAAAGTAAAAACGCAAGTTTGACATCCATCTCTGGGCGTCACTTGGAGAACTATGTTCGAAGGCACGTTCATCCGACGTAACGAGCACAGTAGGACTAAAGTCTAAAGTGGTGTAAAGAAGATACGGAGAACATATCGATAAATAAATAACTACACAAACGAAGTCGAAGTCAGATAAACGACTTTCGTCTGTTCTTCGATAACAGCGTCGAAGGGGACGTCCGGTTTCACTACACGCATCTTTGTGAAGACCATTACACGCGGCGGACGCTTGTGTAAACAGACTTCCCACGATAATTACCGCAAGCCCAAAATTGCCAGAAGGTCACGCCAGAGCTAGTATTCGCAGCGGCGCGGAAAGCGCGAAACGAGTTTCGCGACTGGACCGTCTCCCCGAACATCAGCTTTGTTGTGAGCGAGCGAGCCGCGAAGCGCGCTTGCGCGTGCACTCTTTTGGTCTCTCTGCCGCGAATCGGAGATCGATGGCCACTCTCGGAAACAATGATTCTTGAAGCGCATTCGAGGAGCGAAAGGACGACACAATATAAATTGTCATAAATTGTAAAATTCATTGTAAACGCAAGACCGCATTTGAAATGGACCTTGTCTTTCGCGGGCTCGCACTCTCCTCCTATTCCTGCATCTCCCCGTCTTGTTCTGCTCATGTATCTCTTACCATTTGCGACTTTTTACATCCAATTAAACGCCAATTAAGTTCAATCCAATTTTTTCAAAGGATTAGAAATTAAACGCACGTAGCATGAGACAAATATAGTTGGTGACAAATAAGTCTACATATTATTCTTTTACCAACTGCACGTTTCTGCATTTTTCTTCCCACAAGCAATCCTTTATCTCTCAACTTTTATACTCTTCTTACGTTTCATTTTATGCTTGTAATGACATCCTATTTTGCATTAACGATGTCGGTCATCGAAAAGATTACGTCATCAAGATGTCGCAAAGAAAAATTACGTTTTTTCTGTGATTCAAGATACCAAAACGAAAAACTACAAAATATACAAATTAATGAAGTTCGTAAGGCTCGCATGTGATAAACATAAATTTAAAAGAATGAGGATTGAAGAGCCGTAACAGGATGTTAAATGTCTAAATTTTTCGCAATGAATTTACAATAAGAGTTATTTCGACATTTAACATCCTGTCGCGGCTTATTCCTTCAAATTTATGTTTACAAGATATATATTCGCATGCGGAAAAATTAAGACAAAATATAAAAAGTATCTTCTAAAAACTTCTCTTCTTCGATATTTATACGCAAGCACATTTTTAACAGCCATTTAGAAAATACTTTCTCGGCAATATTATAACATTTTTTTAAATATATCTTTCAAAAGTACAGACGTATCTGCTGAAGCGGACTTATTGTATATAAATATAGTAAATAAAGCCGGAAAGAGCCTAGCGCTAATGCAATCAGAATCATCGCCGAGAGCCAAGTGGTCGCCGAGGTCACGGTTGCTGTACTATGAACCTTAAACAATCGCGCTGAATACGTAAAATTATAAACCGATAGCCAAGCGACCTTATCTGGTCGATATAAGCCGTGAATATTAATCGCGAATAACAAGACGCGCCGCGCGTCATCGTTGCCTGTGACGAAAATAATCCGCCGCGACGATCGTGCGTCGGATCGCCAAGCCGTTTCCGACAAACGAGCGGCCGCCGATCGCGAGCGCGCGCCGATTGGCGATTTAAGGCCCGGTTTCACCAACGTCGTTTAACTTTAAGCTTAGCTTAATTCGTTCCGTGTATCTTTCCAACTGTTACTGTAGATAGAGACAAACGTGAATTAAACTGAGATTGAAGTTACACGACGTTTGGTGAAACCGGGCCTAAGGCCGCGTTTCACTAACGTCGCGTAGCTTTAAGCTTGGTTTAATTCACGCAAGTTGAACAACCCAGCGATAGATAACTTGTCAATTGGCATCGATCGACGAATGATTTCTCACTGGGAACGTTGGTGAAACCGGACCCGAGCGCGCACTCGCGTCCGGGACACTTCCGGGACACCTCGGATGGATGCCACCGTCGAACCTGCGAGCGACACAGGGCGGGCAGGTCCACGGTCGGATCTTATATTTAAGACCGCCCGAAGCCTCGAACAGTCCCGAGGTTCCGTCCAGCCGACGAAACGACCGTGCAACATCCCGACCCGTGAACAATCCATGATCCATCGCGCGAGGCGTTCGTCGCGAAGGGCGGTCGAGGGACTTTAAAACATCCGTAGGCTCGAAGAGTGGACTCACCCTTTCTCTCGACGAGCACTCGCAGACCGCCGCGTCGTCGCTCTCACGCACTAACGCAACTACGACCGCGACCCCGCATTTTCCGTTTATCGCTCCTGTCATATTTTTAGCGAGCGCCTTATGTAAGTGCACGTGGGTGAGCAGGTAGTCGGGAGCCACGTCATCACCCTCGGCCGGGAAACAATGCGTCGCGCGTTATGCGTCGCGTTTACGCGACGCATTGTTTCCCGGCGGCAATGAGAACCAATAACTCCGATAAGTAACCGCTGGGAGTTCCGGTCCCGATTGACAATGTAAATGTTCCTTTAACGCGCGACACGTTCAGACGCGGCGACCCTGACTCGCGGAAGACGCCACGAAATCTCGCGTCACTTGTTCCCCTTCGTCGAAAACTCGACGAGACCACCTCCGCGAGACTTTTCCTGTTTTTAATATCGATATATCTTGATACCATATCTCTACAAGCGTCACGCGAGGACGCCGTTGAGATTTGACATTGCAGAATTAAGCCAACGGCACACGATACTACTTTTCCTGCTGGATTGCTTGCGAGAGCCAATCAGAATTTAGCCTTAAGTCACCTGATCGAAAACTCTGCATCCTCATTGGCTCTCGTAAGCAATCCAGTGCGAGAGCCAATCAGAATGCGGAGTTTTCGATCAGGTGACTTGAAGCTAAATCCTGATTGGCTCTCGTAAGCAATCGAAAAAATATAACAGTGTCGCGTGCCGTTGACTTTAGGGGATAAAATTCTGTCACATCGGCATAATTTTACAAGCGACAGTTGTAATTGAAAAATTATTTGCGCCTCGGCGTACTTGCAATGTGAAAAATTAATTGGCGGATAGCAGAAAGATTGAGAAATGGATATTAGAACCGCTTTCGATGTTTACGTAGCATCATAATTAAGATGGACCCAGGTTGGATTATCTCTGATGAGATTAATAATGATAACAGAAACGTGTAAACTTCTTTGCCAACGGTAAGCAAAGAAGCTTAGGCGGTAATGGTATTAGTAAAACACGAGAGGTAGCAACACCTGTCCGATTAATCGCAGCGTCTTCGACCGCAGGATGAGATTGTTCCTAATCTTCGATATTTCTTTCAATAAAAAGAAGGGTCTTTAGTAAGAAAATGCTTTTTTTCTTATGTTTTTAGACACCGCAGCTGGAGAGATTCTTAGCGCTGCGTCTACCACCTTCTCGAAAAAAAGGGATCTCTTTAATCCTAAATCGTTGTCTTCTAATTGATTACTTCAATGTGACTGTTATATGTAATTTATAGCCTCTCAGCATCTGTTCGATTGCTGTTTATCATTGTATTTTCAATTTTAAATCAGAGGCTGCAAAAACTGACTCGTCGATCGATGTCGATATCGTTCGGCAAATCATTTCTCACTGGTTACTTTCCGCACCATTTATTTCCTTCCTCTCGATTTTCATTTTCGCGCAGCGAAACGTTCCTGAATTAAGTTGCACTTAAGGTCTCTCACAAACTGTATAACTTAGTATCGAGAGATTCTAATTGAAATGGAAATTGTTGCGCATTCCTCACCACGATTTGTCCAATCTTCCCTTCGTCGGGGCAATATTTTTTATTATCATTACGAATACGCGTATCTCCGCATGGTGACAAGAATTGAAGCGAACCGGCGCACCCTCTCAACGGGATTTCCCGTTGCACGCGACGCAAAAATTTCTCGTTCTCCCAACAGCTTCACTCGCCGCCGATCGCTATTTTTGGCACGGCGTACGTGCTTCTGCCGTGCCAAGTTCGCGCAAGCCGCGGAACGTTCCGTTCGTTCTCCGCCGCGACGAATCTACCGGCGCAGATTCGCCGTCACGACGACGCTCGCTTATAATCGCAGACAGATTCGCGCCCGCAAAATTTCATCCGATAGCACCGCGCCACCTGATCTGCATCCCAAAATAAATGTAACATTGAATTTTGAGGAGCCAGGAAACGAGACGCCTCGCGACATTGGAAATGCGCATACGAATGCAACATGCTAATTATTTAAAACGATCGCGCGTCGATCGATGAGGAGATAAGTCACGCCTCGATAAAACATCGCCGTCCCAAAGAGGAGACAATCGAAGTATATTCCTTTCCGTGAATTGAATTTCAATGATGCTCTTGCGAATAAAGTACGCGATGAAAAGATATCTTTGTATATTTCTTCCGCTCACATTTGCAATTCTAGAGGCATTCCTGTACCGATTTTCAATCTTTACAGCGAGAAATATCAACAATTGCGGTGAGAAATGTTTTCGTTCCGAGCCGTACGCTCGACCGCATCTGGGGATTTCCCAGATGACAGCTAAATCGTATGCGTCAAATGCAAACAATTCGTAAGAATTTGGCAGTGAATGTGACAACAGCTGCGTATGGCGGATGTTGTTATTAGCAGGTCATTGGTACGCGTGGTCGTAAATGTCCGGAAACTGCGCGCAAATCCGCGTGAGAAAAGAAATTTCACCATGACCGAGTGGAGTAAAGTTAGCCGCAGCAACGGTATCGATAGCGCGCCAGTATTTTTTAATCATTTCCCTCAAACGCCCTGACAGAGAAATGAGTATCCAATACATTGTACACTTGCACCGAACGGAACAGCGTGCGATTTTAAGAGCAACATAGAATAGAAATAAAAAAAGGAGAGAATATAAAATAATGTAAGAGATAGAAGCACGGCATGAACGGCGAACGTTGTGAAGCGATGTAAAAATTTGCTAAAACAGATGTTCCTCAGCTTAACAATTACGGCACGCCGTGTAAGAAATTTCATTTTAAACAAACAACTCGAACTTGTCTACTCAGATATTCAATTGCCACTTTCAATCTAAGGGAAAATAACGAAACGCTCGTAAGATAGAGCAGGCTTTGTATTTTCACTGATCAATCTCATAAAATAGTCACACTTTCATTTCATATATGTATACATATGTATATTTTGATCAGACGCGCTTCTTCCTTTCTCACATACACACATACATAATCTCATCCTCTCTTATCTCTCGTATCAGAAAAAATACAAAATTTCCGGCTGAAAAATAGTGTACAGATACGCGAAAGGAAAATAGACACTAGGGAGAGAACAGAAGGTGAAGCTAAACGAAGTATCACACTATATAAAGGAGAAACCGAAAAAAAAAACAATGCGTTGCCCTCGCCGTCCCCCGTTTCGCGTCTCTCCGTAAAAGGATAAATAAAGTGGGAGATGGGAGGACAAACTTCCTTGAAGAACTTCGAAGTCCCCGCCGGTGCAAACCTTCGAATATACTCGAGGCTCGGATCACGGGCGATTCGAGTGGACTTTTCTCGAGCGTCGCGTATCCGAAACGTCTCGAGAATTCTAAACGGACGCTAAATCTGGAACGCAGTATACAGGGTGTCCCGCGACGAATGTGTTTTTAAGGAGCACGAACCAATTTTTTATCCTCGCCGCAAAAACCATTACATAATTTCCGCGAACAATGATATAACAGGTGTTCTTATCTCAGTTTATCTTAGGTCAGTTACGGCCTCCAGCTTCAAGAAATACCTGCTTATGTTAAGGAGAGAGAGAGAGGGGGGGGGGGGGCAGTAGAGGTGGTCAAAGTTTCCTTTCTCTTTTTAAATTGGGCGCTAATCGAAAAGCGCAAAGAGCAAACTTTGCGGTTTCGAATTGCGAAATTTATAAAAAAAAGAAAGGAAGAGTCGATGCGCCTTGAGGCGATCACAAAGTGAATCAACACAAACAGCATTCCTTTCGATTTCTCTTTGTTTAAACATCTGTATTTTGAGCCTCACACACAGATTCGAATTTTGATCTTCTAATTCTATTCTACGACTGTATTCTACGGAAATACTTCAAGAATAATATGCTATTTTTTTTTCTTTTACCAGGATTGTGTACAAAAATATCGGGGTGATCTCGGAGAACCAGTAATCGATGTCACTATTGATCACTTGTGGAAAAAAAAACTAACGTCCGGCAACTTTTAAGAGAGAAATGACTTTAATTTGCACTAAATTTCACACGCGCGAATTTTAACGTACGTCGCGGAACACATCCTGGATAAGTTTAGGAAGAAGAAATGAGGGACGGTACACACATCGACGTTCTCAACGGATATTTATGATTCTAAAGTTTGTACGCGGACATATGCCTCATTCGCGTGTCCCGTGCCACTTTGTATCGGCAGATGTGCGCGCGATACGCGGAAAATTATTAGCGTCAACAACAAGCACACTCGCGAACATGAAATCATCTCGCGGGCAGGCATACAATAAATTAGAAATCAATATTAACTTATCGTCATCACTGTCGTCACGCGCATGCTCTAAGTCATGCTATATTGAGTACAACGTCGTTATATACCTGCCAAACAGACCAACTCTCCTGTGTCACGGCGTAAAGAGCGGAAGATTTGTGAAGAAAAACCGAAATTCTCCGACTCGAGTAACAGAGCTCGATACGCAACACTTTATGCGAACAATTCACGATTTGGATTATCAAATGAATATGATTGATGATCAAATTCACGCAACACTAGCCGCATGTTTTCCTCTCACCGCCCATACGTCATTTTATTGTTTATATTTTCGAGAGTCCAATCTGTTCATTTCATTTATACTCTCTATCCGTATATTACTTTATAAAATGCATATACGGCTTTGTCCTGCATTCTACAACTTGTACAAAAATTACATATTTTATTTACGTACAGTCAATAACTTAGCGCTTTTGTACGTGAATTATTTTGAGTGAATGCCTGCAGTACGATATTACGATGTGTCGAATTGATCTGCTCGACAGGTGGAAATACAGCAATACTACGTCTCTCCTTTTATGGTGTTCTCAACGTTGCGCGCCTGGACTCGCGATGAGACTTCAATCTTATCCGATCGCGATTTCGAGTCCATCTCGTGCGAGTCAGACGCGGTCTCCGTTTATCTTACAATTATCCACGAGTTCGCAAATCATAAATAAATTAGAAGAAAAGTAAGGATTACATATCATCGACAGAGAGAAAAAATTCGCTCGCTACGCGTATTCCGACATGGATTCTTCCTTAGTGTTGAAAAAGTATAACGAAACACGCGGCCACTTAAGAGCTTCAAATCGAAGGCCGTTTTCTCTGAGGAAGCCAGCAAACTTACGGCCGGTACCGCTTCTAGCCCGTTCTCGCTCGCGATTATTCTATAAAAAGAGGAAAGCCTCGTCCTAAGGTAATGACGAGTGACTCGCGGGACCGAAGGATTCGATTTCGTTGCTCGGCTCAAGCGCTTGATTCTAGTTCGGGAGCTCGGAAAAAGTAAGAAAAGATAGCGGCGTTCGGCGCTTTAATGTAAATCAGTCAAGCCACTTCGCGGTGTCTGCGGCAATTCGATGTCCTTCGAAACTCCTTCACCGTCAGTGTTCCTTCGCGATTCACGGAACCCCCCTTCCAGTCGATCTTGGTTTCTTTACGACCCACGAAATTCTTTTCTCTCTCTCATTCGCGGACTCCGTCGAGTCGTGTCCACGTTAGGACCCACGTTCGACAATATGACACTTCTTCAGCGTTCCGTTTTTATTTCGCGCTCTCCGTCGGCGGTGGCGGCAGCGGAATCGCCTGCTCGGATACCGGCTGCTGTTGCTGCTCCTTCTTCTTCGTCTTCTTCGTCTTCTTCTGCAACCTCGGCGACTCGTCGTTCGCCCCCGTCTTTCCCTCTGTCGCCTCCTTCGTTTGCTGCTTCGACGCCGCGTGTTTATTCTCCGTCTTCGTTCGCGACGCGTCGCCATCCTTTTGTTGCTCCCCATCCTTTCCGCTCGGCTTTGATTTCTTGCTCGTTTCGTCCGCGCATTTTGTCGATTCCTCCGTTGACACAGGTGCGACAGGCTGTTTCGTATTTTCCGCTATTAAATTTTCTGTTTTCTGCTCGGCACTCTGTTCGACAGGAGGCACCGCGCTTGGACTCGCAGATTCGGCAGCCGTTGCCGCACTTTCACTTTCCAAGGATTCCGCTTTCGTCTGCAAATAGAAAATGCGACGCCAAATGAATAAAGTAATTTATCATAAATATCGCAATCGTAAGAGTAAAACAACCAACAAACGAAAAAAAGGTAATTTGAGAAAAAATAAAGTGTTAAAAACTTGTATATAATAAAGTATTCTGCGTTTTAACGGAGAATACTTAATACTAACACTCGTGATTCCTCACCTTCGTCGGCGACGATGGCGCCGGCGGAAGCGGTATTGGCTCGTTGCTAGGCTTCTCCTGCTTCGCGTCTATCTCCATAGGCTCGGGAACCTGCGAGGCCTCTTGTCCCCCCTGGTCCTTCTCCTGGACCTCTTCGCTCGCGGTGGATTGTTGCTCCTGCTGGTTGGCGATCGGTGTTTTAGACTCCAGCAGACTGATGGTATCCTGTATGCTCTTGATGGCGTTCTTGCGCGCCTGCCGCACATTCTCCCGACCTTCCGTCTCTATGTCGTCCAGCTTGATTAATTCGCGCGTCAGCATCTCGTCCAGGTACATGTACTCCTTGTCTTGCCGGGAATTACCGACGTAACGTTGTACCTGCTCAGCGAGATTGTCCACTTCCTTTTGCACCTGAGCAACTTTTTCCAGGGGATCCTTTGGCACTGGAGGCTTTGGTTTTGGTATTTCTTCTTGTTGTTGTGGTGGTGGTTGTTGTTGCTGCTGCTGCTGCTGCGGCGGCGGCGGCTGCTGTTGCTGTTCCTGATGATACTGTGGATGTTGCTGGTGTTGCTCGTGATGCTGCTGAGGCTGCTGTGGCTGCTGGTGATGATACTGAGGCTGCTGATAATAGTATTGCGGCTGTTGATGTTGCTGCTGTTGCCGTCGCGTCGGTTGTTCAAAACCTGCCGGCTTGTAAAACGCATCCTGGAAGTGCGACGGTGGCCACTGCTGCTGCCGGTTGAAGCGTTCGTTGAAGTGCGAGGGTCTGTGGAAGTGGTGCGCCGGCGGCGACGATCTGTCGAAGTGGTGGGTCGGCGGCGACGGTTGCCGCTGGTGGTGGTGCTGCTGGAAGGTGGACGGCGGCGCGTCGTCGGCCGGAATCTTTGGCATCACCGGCACGTCGCGACCCTCCACAAAGATGGGGATGTGTCGGACATTGCTGGCCGGTTTAGCGGGCGACTGGGCGCGTTGCTGTTGCTGATTGTGCTGCGGCGTAATGTCCACTCGGGACACGAATCTTTGGCCTTGCGGCGGCTGCTGATCTTGGCCTTGCTGCTGCTGCTGCTGCCAGCTCTCCGGCGGTGCCGACATCGAGCGCTGGCCGCGCTCGCCCTTCTCCGGGCTCGCCTCCATGTCGTGGCGACGCTGCTGCTGGCCTATGTCCACCGTGTTGCGTAGACCGTACTGCGGTATCGCGGACGATGACGTCAGGTCGTGCTGCTCGCCGCCTTTGCTGCCGCCGCCGCTGTGCGAGCTGACGGCACTCGCACCACTCGCGGCGCTGCTACCGCTCGCCTGGCTGCGCGCGTCCTCGTCCACCTGATGCTGCTGACCTTGCTGCTGGTCGTCGTTGCTGCTACAACCGGAGCCGCAACGTCGGCGGCGGCGGTCGCGCAACAGGGAGCCGCCGAACGGCCAAGGCGGACCGCGCAGGTGCTCGGCGAACTCGGGGTGACGCGCCGCAAGGTCGTCCAGATGCGCGCGGATGCCGTCGCCGCGCGGGCGCTCAAGAACGTCGGCGACCTCGTCGAACGGGAAACCCTACGGGGACAGACAAAAGTTCGATAAAGTCGATTCGTGACGACCAAGTAACTCGTGATCACATCGTGACCTAGAACCGTCCGACAGGTGTGTGACACGTGCGAAAGGTGAAACATACAAGGTTAAAGGATAAAAAGAAACAATTTGCGCAATATTGAATTAATCGATCAAAGTGTGAATTTCACTCATTAATAATCGCGATGGACGATTATCCAATAAACAGTAACAATGTTCAAATGCAAAGTGTTTAATCTGGCACTGAAAGACATTCGCATCAGACGCCGGACATCGTATATTGCAAATTGGCTCGTGCTATTCGCGTTGGTGCATGTTAAAAGTTATCGTACAGGAAATTGTGTTTTAATGAAAGCACAATGTAAACATTTATTGCCGAAATGAAATATATATACTTAACACTATTCACACTAATGTGAATGTACGCCAGAGTTGGATATCGAGTTTCTTATATTGTGCTCTTGTATCCAGATAGTTTCGTGCCTAGCAATCTTTGTGGCGCGTGAACAGAGCCGTGCCCGCCGAATTCGCCGAAAGTGAATTCCGGTTGCCCGCGCAACTTCGCAGCGGTGCACGCGAAGGCCGTGAAGTTATCTGACAACGGGCGCACCTTCGATGCGGAGTAAGGCTAATGTCACTCGTCGATTGGCTGCAGAAGAGAAAATTTCTAGAGACCCGACAGCTTTTCTATTCTGCAGCCAATCAGCACGCCCGAAAAATAATATTAGCCTCAGGATACTGTTAGGGCCTGAGCAGAATGGCTGTCTTAAATTCTTAAGCCTTGTGTCCACGATCCAAGAACTGGGTCCAAGTTCTAGTTCCGAGAAATGCGTAGCCAATCACCTTGCAGCTTTTATGGAATAGCTGCAGGTTGATTGGCTACACATTTCTCGAAATTAGAACTTGGACCAAGTTCTTGGATCGTGGACACAAGGCTTTAGACAGCCCTAAGTCCCAGTCTACAATAGATGATTTAAGCCCCAAGCTTTAAGAAATTGGCCAATCACGGTCAAATATGAGTAGAATCCGCGACTGTGATTAGTCAATTTCTTAAGGCTTAGGATTTAAATCTCTATTGTAGACTGGGACTGAGACTCTTATTTATTTACATGGAAATTGCGTGTAATCAGATCATATTCCATCAAATATTTTAAACAGGGTCATTAATCCGACAGCGCCCACGCTGCTTTGACGATGCGGCGAGGTTCCACCTTAGCTTTTGTCGTTTAATACACGGAAGGAAAGATTAGAAACGAGCGAGAAATCTTGTAACGAACAATTATTCCGCTAGTTGAATGAATTGTTAATCAAGTCGATTGGAGTTTAATCCAAGTCACCCCGGCGGCGACAACCGCGCGCGAAACGTTCAATCGTATCGACTTCGGTCCGACGAACGCGAGCAAGGGCGCTGAAGGGGAAATTCGCGTAATCGGGCACGAGGTGACGAATCCTCCTTCTTCTCTTTCTTCTCCTCCTCCTGCGGCGAATCGAGGTCGCGTCGTCGTTCCACTTAGCGCGGCCGACGGGCGCGCGTTACAAGAAAACCATACACGGGGCGCAGGCGAGAGAAAGAAGGAGAAAATGAAAGAAAAATGACAGTAGAAGGGACAAAGAGTGAAAGAGAAAGAGAGAGCGAGAGAGAACGAGAGCAAAAACTGGGAGAACCGCTTATACACGCGCACCTACGCGCGATAATCGGATTTTCCTATTTTCGGCCCGGTTGGCCCTGGCCGGCGCGCCACCGCCGGGTTAACTTTTCGCCTGTCAACCGCAAAAATGACCCGTAACCAGATCATATTACGCTCGGACACCGATGCTTCACTTTTCAATCGTAAATTTAGTAGAGTGCTTTCGGCCCAAATATGGATTTTTCATCGCACTTAATCACACGTCGCTCGCCATTAATCGCGAACGACTCGAGGCGTCGGGGACGCCTTCGCCGCGTCGAATTTACGTGAACGCAGTCCCGAGGAGGAAGGAAATTTGTTTTCTCCCCTTCCTTCTCCACCTTTCCTCTCTCAAAGGTTTCTTTTATTTCCACCGGGTGATATCATACGTGGGGGAGGGGAGGGGGGACGATCGCTCGGTCTCGTTTCTTTTCGGTTCTTGGTCTCCGTCTTCGTTGGAGCACGCGCAAATACGCCCACGCGCGCACGCGAACCATCCGTCGCGTTCCAGAACGCGAACGCCGAGGGAGAAACGTCATTGGGACGTGGCTACGAGCAGCGGCGGCTACAGAAAGAGTCGAGCCGTATGAAGCGATCCCCCCCCTCCCCCTCGACGCTCTTCGACCCCCTCGATGCGTATCGCGATCTCGCCTAATTGTGCGGCCGGTATCGAGCGTAGGAAGATATCTGATAACGTGACCGACGTGACGTCACGCCGCGCCTTTCGACGTAACGTAACGTGTCGTGCTGCTCGTTCAAGCCCGTATCAAACCGCGCACCGAGCCTCGCGAATTAGAGGCTGCAGGATTGCGAATTGGAGATCGCAGCTCCTGGCCAATCGGGACCGAGCGGGCCGCGGCTAACGTTATCCGATTGGCCAGATTCTAATCTCTCCGATTCGCTACCCTCAATCTTCGATTCGCCATCCTCAATCTCGTATGCGTCGTCCCACGCTTTCAGCCTAATCTACAATGCGCTCTTTGCAACTAGAGGCATCCTATTTTATACAAACAAATGAAAACGCTTACAAAATTTGTCGAGATTAGATTGAAATTTGACCAATCGGAATAAAGTTTACTAATCTCAGTGACTTTTGCTCTAATTTGTCAACTTTCAATCTAATCTCAGTCTCAATCCGTGATGGACAGAATAGTTGCAACACCTTTTTTTAATGAGTTTAGGAACGCGCGTTTAGAATCGGGTTTACGTTTCAAAGCGTTTTTTCTGGGGAAAATTTTACTCGAGAAAGAGATCGAAAAGGCTCAAAATGTTTTCGGAATGGCCAACGAGTAGAATATTCCTCGGAGAGGAAGATTTTGGAATGTAACCCGGAAATCTCTAAATGCACGTTCCTAAACTCATTTAAAAAACAGTTCCAGGTTCAAACCCTGGCTGAGGTATTGTTTTTCGTAATACACTTAAAATTATCTAGACACCAACATCCTGTCTCGGCTCTTACTCCTTTATTACATCGTACTTACGTTTTCGCCTTAGAGCCTTGTGAATTTTAATAATTGTCGAAAAAAAAATGTCGCGATCATTCTGTTCATCACTGTACAATTTATCAACTCGCACAATTTTTTTAAACGCATTTATTACAGAACAAAATGCCTCGAGTGCCTGTATAGATCAGTCTTTAGGGGTATCGATAACAACGGCGGCGGTCCTGCGAGGCATCTAAATGGATGACATCACGACTGCGTTCGACGGTCGCGATCGTTCGCGATTATCCGATGATGCATCGATAATCGCGAGCGCCGGTTTTTGTCCATTTGCAACACCCCACCTCGTCGAGACGTCAATCACTTGTTCTTTGCGACACTACAACAGCGAGGCTCCAAGTTTCCAGAATAATCTCCAGCGACTCGATCTACAATATTTCCCCCCCCCCCTCCCTTTCTTTACGCGACCGACGCGTTCTGTCGCGTTCGAATGCGACGCGAAAAATACGGCGCGAATGCTATTTCTGATTTCCACGCGATCTCGAAACGCGCGAGGAGGAAGGAGGGGCCGTAACGTCGGTAGGGAGAACTCTCTAGAATCGCGCGAAACGTATGGAAATACCTCGCGCGCGCCGCCGATTCCATTAAGGTCTGGACCGTGTCACGCCGAGAACATGGAACCGGGGGGACGAAGGGGAAGTTGTCGCGCGCGTCCGTCTGTGTCGTTTGCGCGATTTTAGGGTGCTATTGCATTTGTCGACAAATTTTTCAAGCGTGTTGATTGACTGCAGAATAGTAAAATTCTAGAGTATCTAAACATTTTCTACTCAGTGTCGTGCGACAAATGTAAAGTACCAGCCTTATGCAGGATTCACGCTGGATCCTGTATTAGGATACAGGTATATTAGGACACGAGTAACGTCTTGTAAACGTTACAATTCAACATTCAGAAAACATTGTTAAATTATATTGAGTTAACATTGGTCGCGTTCAGCAGAGTATTTGTTACAACCGTTGGAAGTGTTGAAATTGAATTATTCCACTAAAATAATCATTCAATCTTAGCTCAGAAAATTTCTGACCTTTGCGACATTACAACAGCGAGGCTCCAAGTTTCCAGAATAATCTCCAGCGACTCGATATACAATATTCCCCCCCCCCCCTCCCTTTCTTGCAAAATATTATATATATAATAATTATATATTTTTTAAGTATAATCTATTTGGGTGTCAAAAAATAATAATTTGTCCAAGATTGTTTCTAGTTTAAAGAAGTAATATACAAACATTAACCTAGATTCAACGTAGAAAAGATATTTATACTTCAACATTAAACATTGCAACGTTTCAGCGACATTATTTTAACTTTCTGTGCTGCATGGGTGTATTTGTCGCACGACAAATTTTTTGAGCGCGTTGATTCGCCACAAGCTAGAAAACTTAGATACTCGAGAACTTTTCTATCCTGCAGCCAATCGACACGCTTGAAGACGTTGTCGTACGGCAAATGTAATATTGAGCTAAACAATCGCGACAGTTGTTCGCGAAACCGTCCAACGAGACGCGCAATCGATTTGCAAACGAAGTCTTCGTACGCAGGAAGCAACCCGAGTCCCTCCAACCCTTCCGCTTCCTCGAAGCGGAGCCGCGAGTTCCGTCACGAGCTAGCGCGCGCGCGCGGCGAGATCCCCGTCTCGCGAGAGGAAAAGATTAACGCCCAAGGAAAAGAAAGGGGAAAAAGAAAAGACAGAGTGGTGGTTGTACGTCACTTACGGGGAACGAGCAGCGGTCCAGATCGATAGCTTGTCCGAATTTGGATGTCGCATCCACGATGACAGGCGAGTCCATTTTCTGGACCCGTTCGAACCCGCCGTCCGTTTTTGGATACCCGACACGCACTCTCTCTCTCGCGTTTGCTCGCGCGACCAATGCTTCTAGATCTTCTAGATCTTTCCTTCTCTCTCTCTCTCTCTCTCTCTCTCTCTCTCTCTCTCTTTTCCTCTTTCTTTTCCTTTCCTTCTGCGTAATGTGCACCTCGCGCAGAATCTTTTTTTAGCGGCTCTCTCGAAAGCGCGGTTCAAGGAACGTCGGGAAAAAGGCCGCCGCGAGATTTTTCTCGAAATCACGGTACCTCCTCGCGTTCTCTCATTCGCTCTCGCTCGCTCGCTCGCTCTCTCTCTCTCTCTCTCTCTCGTTCTCACTCGCTCACTCTCACACGCTCTCGATATACGTATATATGTTTCTCTATCACTCTACTCACTCGACACTCACACGTCGTGCTTCTTTCTCTCTCTCTCTCTCTTTCTCTCTCTCTCTCTCGGTTTTTCCTCGTCTCCTCCTCGCGCCTCCTGTGCCACGATTACATAAGCGTCGGCCGCTAATACACTCGGGCGCGTCTCTTTCGCACTCGTCTCGCAGGCTGTACTTTTTCAAGGCCGGTCCTCTCCGAGTCGCGCAAAAGAGAAGAAAGAAAAAAAAATACGTGCACACGTGCGTGTCACCGCGATATCGCGCGTACCGTCCACCACGAGCGCGGCTGACAGCGAAACTGACAGCGCGCGGGCCAGAATGCAGCTTAAATGCGCGATTACGTGTGGGCCGCGCGAGACCACGTGACTGCGCCGGCGGCGAGCGGAGGCGGCCGATGACGGCCGACGGCGGCCGAGCGGGCGCGAGAACACGGCTGGAACACGCTAGAAGCTTCTCGCGCCCGGCTTCTCGATCGTTCGAGAAAACGCGGAAGCGTTCGGCGTTACGTCACGATGAATAACTCGCCTCGTTCGGTTCGACATGCTTTCAAAACATTGAGAGTGCTACGGCCGTACACACTTCTCTCGTCGAGCGAATTGACGCGAGAAAAAGGCGCGTTTTAAACGTAAAAATACGCGACGAAAGGGGAAGGAAATGCCACGAGGCGACGGGTCGTAGAGGATCCATTCGTCTCGGTCGCTCTTTGCGGCTTTGCTCTTCCCGTCGGAAAGCGTACACGTCTTGTTCTAGAAAAGGTACAGTGATGGACAGAATGGTTGCGACGCTTTCTTTGGGTTACGTTCCAATATCTTCTCCGAGGAATATTTTACTCGATCGCCATTCCGAAACCATTTTGTTGGGCGTTTTCAATCTGTTCCTCAAGTAAAATCGTCCCCGAAGAAAGTATTTTGGAACGTAAACCTGAATCTAAATGCGCGTTTCTAAACTCAGTAAAAAATTAAGTGTCGTAATCATTCTGTCCATCACTGTACGCTAGGGCATCATCGACGTCTTCTCGTATGAATGTTTGCCTATCCCATACAGCACCAAAGCTTTCTGAAAGAGTTTCTGAAATGTTTCTGAAAGCTTCGCTGCTGTATGGGACACGTGATCATGAATCCTTTCCTCCAGCGTGAACTCGTAAAAAGTGAAACATCTCATTGAAGAATTCAATGTTGGTTCAACAAAATTTCTCGCGAGTTCACTCCAGAGGCAAAGATTCGAGCCGCTCATCTACAATGTGCTCTTTGCGTCTATATAGAAACATTCTATTTGGCTTAGCCAATAAATACATTTGAAAAGTTTGCGCAAGTTGATCAATTGTAAATTACACATTGTACACTCGTGCATTAGCGACAAACTTTTTTAAACGTATTAATTTGCTTATACAAAGTCGCAAAAAGCACATTGTAGAATTTAATATACTTTTGCCCATATAATTTAGCACAATTTAAAAATTAGTTTAAAAAATTAAATAGGAAGCCTGCTGATGCCCTACTTACCCCCCTATTCGAAATTGTAAGGGGCAAGTTATGAGATCGTGATGAGGAAAACCTGATCAGGCAGTTTTAATTCTCGACGTTACATTTGTGATCAGGGCCGAACAAGGGGGCAACCTGATGAGTGCCTGATCAGGCATTAGGACATGCTTATTAGGACCTTGTTAGGAACCTTGTAAAATTTCAGCTCGGGACGTCATCTCAACGGGCGCAGATAGTCGGGCGGACGAGGACGAGCGAGCGCACGCTTCGCCCGAGAAAGGCAGAGAAGAAAAGAGACGTATGGTTGATGGCAGAGAACAATCCGTAAACGCTTAAGACTGTCTCAGTCGTAGACGTAGGGCAGTATACCATAGCCTTTCACGACTTACGTTTCTCTCTGCCTTGCCCTACGTCTACGACTGAGCCAGTCTTAAGCGTTTACGGATCGTTCTCCGCCACCAGCTTATGACCCATATTTTTAGGCACGAGCGAGATACCTGGACCCGCGCTGGATCGACACGGCTGGACCGATCGCGAGGAGCATAACCGGCGGCGACTCCAAAGGTAGCTCGAGCGTAGGCCCCGCGCTGGGTGCGTACCGGAAAGAAACGGACGTTCGATTGAGAAAGAAAAGCGAGACGGGAAAAGAAATAGCGATGAGTGAATCGCGGAGTTATGCGTGGAGGGATAATGAGCGATCCCGGCGAAAATTACCGGCTGGCGGGGGCACCGACGCAAAGTTCGCCACGTAATCCTAAATGGTATACGTGCGACGCGGATCGGAATGGCATAACTGCCGTAATAACGTCCACGATAAGCTGGAGGCGCGTTTTGTAGCCCGCGCACGCGTCTCGATCGCTCGCGGGATCATCGATAATGACGATCGATGATCTACGGTGATCGATAGCGGTGCCAGGAGCGCAGGAGACGCGAGGAGGTCGCGCGAGTCCGCGGCGAACCAGCGAAAGGCTCATTCATACGACGGTAGAGGAGAAGGAGGAGGAAGAGGAGGAGGAGGAGGAGGAAGAGGAGGGGAAGAGGAAAAAAAGGGGAAGGGGCGCGACGGCGCGCGGCGTGAAATTCGCTTAATACATCAATAAGCGAATCGAACAGCACCAGTGAGGATCACTCGCGGGATTTCTCGATGCTGTGGCTCCTTTTGAAAAAAGAATTTCCATTTGAAACGAGACGTTTCGGTTTTGAGGTTGCGAGAACGTTGCTCCGGGCTCGCCGGAGTCGACCGAGTCAACCGGGCGAGGCGACAATCGCGCACTTTTTGCGTTACGCAATTTGCGTTGCGCAACGCGCGGCGAAGTTTAATACGTTAAATATATAAATAACGCTAACCGTGTGTACAGTATCATTGCCAACATGCGAACGTGCGTGCAGCCGCGATCGCGGGTCGCGAGATTGCGACGATCGCGCCGCGCGCCTTTCGGCACCTCCCAAATTCGATCTTCTCGTCGAAGGTAATGGAGAAACGAGGGAAAAGTCGCGCGTAAAAGAAGAATAAACATTTCCATCTACACTTCCGACTCGTCACCTTACAAAGAAATACTTTTCCTTGTAGGCCTAATTGTTATCAACGCGAAGTCTATTAATTTAGCTCCTTTTGTTCGTTTTATAACAATCATGTAATAATTTATGACATACGTTCAATTTGTAATTATAATCATTTTAACTTATTTTTTATTACACGACTAATGTGCTGAGGAAGACTAATTATAAGTTGAAACGCGACGCACACAATACTGTATCTAATTATAATTATATAAATAAATTATACAATTATTTATACAACGCCTTTTGCTCGTTCTTAGCCCGTGGACTTTGCTTGAAGTATTTTTCCAATCTTTCCTAATGGCATGTAACTTTTCGAGCTGGATTCTAATCGGAGTAATTCGTCTATAGAAAACACAATAGAGACAGGAAACAACTAAACAGCCCATTCCGAAAAGTTCGACACAACACGTGCCCCATTTTCACGTATTTTCCCGCCGAGTCGATAACAAATTACGCTGTATACAAAGCGCTGGGTATCTGAAATGCCTCAGCCGCTTTTGAAAATATGTGAGAACTTGACACAATGCGGGATATTCAAGGACGTACCCTTCCCGCCACTCGGCCGGCAGAATTTTCGCGTATCACGAAGAACACAGGTGCTTTAAGTACGGAACGTTAAACGAAGCGACATTGCGAGAGCTTTCCTTTCTTTCCGCGTCGGGGCGGCTCAATGGGAAGGACGGGATGAAAAGAATCGTGCACACACCCGCGCGACAATTCACTTTACGTAATGAGGCAGGCTTTTCTCTTCTCCTCTATTGGCCCGTCGCTATATACATAACCGAATCACCTGTTCCGCATTGTCAACGCGCCAATTAGCATGCCTCGCGCGCGGAGCACACGGCGCGGCATTAACGTTTCCCGGAATGTGGTTAATCGATAGGTCGGTTTCGATCGAGCGGGCGGGCTCCCTGCGGGTCCCTCTTTCGCGACTCGCTTTTCCGAGCGAGCATTATCCTCGGGGAGCGCGTGAATCTAGTTTTTCAATTTCAGACCGGTACCCAGTGAGAAATGATTCGTCGATCGATGTCGAAACGATGTCGAACCGTCAAATTGACCTGGATTCGACATCATTTCTCACTGGGATATAAGAATGGACTATGACTAACCAGTGAGAAATGATTCGTCAAAACGATGTCAAATAGACACTGTCAAATTCGCGTCGATTCGACATCGATCGACGAGTTTTTGCGCTGGGTATGTATTTAATTACATCTCATAGGCCGGTATTCATAGTCGATTCTTATTTCAATATCATCTTAAGTGTTGTCTTAAGACGCTAATACGGCTCTGTGATTGGTTGAAAACACATTAAGAGTATACTTAAGATGATCTTAAATATAAGAATGGACTACGAATACCGGCCAATAGACTACAGTTTACTTGATCCTGTAAATCCTTTAAAGTGTTCTTTAGAGAGAAGGAGAAGAAGGTAGTCATAGTCCATTCTTATACATATGTCCATTTAAGTCTCACAGACTGCAGTTCACCACAGATCCTATAAATCCTTCAAAGCGTTCTTTAGAGAGCAGGAGAATGCTTTTGTAGCACAAAATGGACCCTAGTGTGTTGTAAACATGTGAACTTTATACACGAAGAGACTTTTCTGTTAAAATTTCTCCTGAAAATTATGTAATCGTGGGACAACACGACATTTTGAAGAACTTTATTAGAGTTTTTGAAATTCTACTATACATTCTACTAGCAAAATGTATGCTGAAATTTCAAAAGGCTCTTATAAGATTCTTCGAAACGCCAAGTTGTCTCACGATTACATGACTTTCAGGATAAGTCTTACGAAAAAATTATCTCCGTGTGTTATACCGGAATGCCAAGTCAAATAGGAGAAAACGGACAGAGCGTGACGGGCAAATACCACTTCTATCTCTTCCTTAGTAATTTAATTGGTCAACGATTTTCTATCCCAACTTAGGTAAATCTCACTCTGTCCGTTTATAAGGTGAGATAGAAAATCACTGAACCAATCAAGTTACTCGAAAGAGACAGAACTGGTACTATTTGTCTGTCTCACTGTCCGTTTTCTTAACACGTCTTAGGTATTCCAGTATATCTAGAGTTTACTGCAAGTTGCAAGCCAATCGCAGAGCCATATTAGCATCTTAAAACATTACTCAAGTGATCTTGAAGCATAAAGAACGGACTGGTGAGTACCTTTAAGGCCGATTTTATTCATGCAAGCTCTCGGGATATTCGAGAACGTGAATGGACGCGGGAGTTTTACACAAGTGCGGCCGGAAAATTCAACGACGTGGCTGCGGATTTTCCCATCAAAGACATCTCTTTTACTCGCTCTCACTCTCTTTCTCTCTCTCTCTCGTCGTTAAAGGGCTCCCCAGACTAGGACACGCATATACACGCGCGCGCACACACACAAGAGTATCGGAAATACGCTGCTTCCCGAGTGAGCCAAGATCGATAGGGGTGGCCTTACCCCTCGGATGTGTGCCGTCAAAACTCGTTTCGGGATGGGGTCCTAGCTAGACACGGCGCTACTTCGTTTCTCCAAGCCTATTCACGAACGACGATAAAAGGCCCTTTTGGTTCGCAGGATATTGAAGCTAAAAGGGCGCCCGGAAAGTGTCTACGACCGCTCCTGATTGCGAGGGTTGCTTCATGATGTCAGCTCGAGCAACTTCTTTTCTCGTAAAGAAGACTCGAGCGGCGCGTCTCTCGATAACTTTGATAACAATCACATGATCTTTCGAGGAACGACGATTAAAGATAAAGATAAAGACTCTCGATCGAATGGAATTAAAGCTCAACAGCTCTCACATATAAACATTCGTCATTTATTTCCTCCTCCCCCCCCCTCTCTCTCTTTCTCTCTCTCTCTCTTTTCGTAAAACCAGAATTGCGCAAAAAAGTATGTTCTACGAAGGAGTGAAAATCTCTCTCGATATTCTTGGTGAAATGTAAAACTGGGGATTTGTTCTTTCTCTTAGGACGATATTCATAGTCAGATCTCATATTCGCCGTCTTAAGATCATCTTTAGTTACTCCGTAGCCAATAAAACGTCCTATACAGCATCTTTAGATAAATTCAAGACGGTCTTGAATACAAGATCTGGGGCTCGATTCTTGAATTCGTCCGGTATAGAGAAACGTATGCGAAAATTCTACTCTGACAGAAAAGTTGAAAGTCGATTGGTCAAAAGCCACGCGAATAACCAATCGACTTGCAACTTTTCTGTCAGAGCAGAATATTCGCGTATGTTTCTTCTTGGAATGAATTCAAGAATCTGCGACTATGAATACCGGCCTTAGGCTGATATTACGTTCGTCGTACGACAAATTTTTCAAGCTTTTTGATTGGCTGCTGAGTAGAAAAGTTCTAGATACCAGAGAATTTTACTATCCTGCAGCCAATCAGCAGGCTTAAAAAATTTTTCGTACGACAAATGTTTACTACCAGCCATGCCGCGTGGCAACTTCGGCTGACAATAAAAATAAGTCTACAACGATAAAAGATATAAATAGACCTATTGTGAACAATCGGATCTTTTTAGAAATGACGACCGGCGATGGAAATGCCTTCAAGTGGTGAGATATCGGGAAGTCAGAGCGCGATCTTAATCTTCGATCGACGCGACGTATCCACATTTACGTCGCGCTAAGGACTCGGAGAAAAGTTGCGATTAAAACGAGAGACTCGATATCGCGAATCCCGTCGCTTTACGCGCGACTCGACGAGTCGTTTCGCGCGCGATCCGCGAATATATATCGATGACAGGAATAAACCGCGGCGAATCGGAGAAAGAAAAAAGAAGCGTGGATCGAAACGCCACGGCGGAACCTTCGTTCAAACGACCGAGAGACGATCGTCGTGCGCGAGAATTGGGGACGGCGCTATAAATACAAAGAAATTCGGCGCGAGCTCCGATTCGTTCGCCACGATTTAAATCTCCCGCGGGACGCCGCGGCATCGAAGACGCGAGACGGACGGGACGGACCTATTACAATATTTGCGCCCATCATTATCGATACACAAGTTTGTACCTCAATGCTCTTCTACCTCGCCTCACGGGGCGAAGGTAACTAATTCGCACTCACACGTTTCCCTTTCGTTGCGTTCGCGAACGCAAACACATCCCGGCGTGAACCAACGAGTCCCAATTGCTCACTGCAGTGAGAAATGTTTCGTCGAAACGATGTCAATTCGACATCGACACCGTCAAATTGGCGTAGATTCGACGTCGTTCGACGAGTCATTTCTCACTGGGATGGCAAGCAACGCGCGAGATCTTCTTCCCATACAGCACCATAGCTTTCGGAAACATTGCAACATTGCAAATTGCAATGTAATATTGCAGAGACTGTTCAGAGACATTCAATTGTAACGTTTCGCCGACAATGTTTCAGTAACCTCGTAACATTGCACCGTGTCATTACTGCAATGTTACATTGGGTCTGTTCTTTATTGCTGCACTCCTGAACTAGTGCACGCTGGTGCAATGAGTTGGAACGAGAGGTGATCCTATTTGCTTCATTTTAACTTATTGCACTAGTTCAGTAGTGCAGTAATAAAGAACAGGCCTATTGTAATATATCTGAGGGAGGACATTTTAATGTTGCTTCAAGCTTGCGACAACGTTGCTCAAACATTTCGCAACCTCCATACAATGTTACAATGTTGCAGTGAAAGGTGTGTGCAATGTTTCTGCAATCTTTCGGTGCTGTATGGGCACTTTAATTTTGGCTCCTCGTTCGAAGGGTAACTTGGGGTCTGTTCTTTATAGCTGAATTGGCTGCGCTATTTCAGAGCTTATCTTTTTCCCTCCACATTATGAAAAACAGACCCCTCAGCCATAAGCTAGTGTTTAGGGTCGGTAGGTGATTTTCGTCCACGCTCTCCGTCTAACGAAGGCTGTTTTTCTCTTAGTCCCAGTCTACAATAGATGATTTAAGCCCTAAGCTTTAAGAAATTGGCCAATCACGGTCAAGTATGAGAAGAATGCGCGACTGTGATTAGTCAATTTCTTAAGGCTTAGGGCTTAAATCTCTATTGTAGACTGGGACTTAGGAGACACAAATCGACACAAGTAAACACGCTCGAGCACAGTTTGCCGCAGTTAAATGGCAAAGAGAGAGAGAGAGAGAGAGAGAGAGATATTGAGAAAAAATTCTATCGAAATACTGGGAGTAGATGCGTTCTTCGGTGTCAAAAACATCCCGACTCTCCTCCCGAGCAGCGTTGATCGAGTCTCAGCTGTAAATGGAAAGCGACATGTGTCGGTCCGTTTAAAAAATGTCCACTGTATCCCCTAAAAGAAAAGCAGCCCGAGCAAGAGGTTGTCTATTCTCCCGCTCGGGTCGTCACGCGGTGTCGAAGGTCGCGAGGGATTTCGGCTCCCGCCGGCGTGATCGATCGATCGCGACGAGAGCCACGCGGAGGGAAAATAAAGGTCAATGGGAAATTCCGCGGGCAGCGAATTCCAGGCGCGCCGCGGAGGAGAAGGGCGCGCGAGCGGCGGGACGAACAATAGCGTGTACTCACTCTCGGGAAATGCGGAAAGGGCCGGTCGGCGTCGCCCCGGGTGGGCCTGCCGGGCTCGAAGAACGCGTCCTCGTTGTCCTCGTTGAATCGCTGCTTCATCTCCCGCAGCAGCTCGTCGTCGGACATGTCCGCGAATCTCGGCGAGTTGCGAAAGTAAAACGACATGTCGTCGGCTCGGCTCGGCTCGGTTCAGCTCGGCTCAGGGCAACGCGACGCGACGCGACGCGACGCGACGCACCTTCCCCGTCAATCTCGCGCGGCGGAACACGGAGCGGGTCCGATCACGCGGGCAGTTTTCTTTCAGTTTTCCTTCGCGTCGCAAAAATAACACCACTCGCCGACTACGCTCCCGCGCAAAGGTTCGCGCGTTACTGGCGAGCGCGCTGCGCCGGCGATGGCATTTGAAAGGGCGAATTCGCCCGCGCACGCGCATCGGCGCCGCTCGCGCGCATAGGCTTCGAAAAAGGGCTATCAAGATGAATTTGCATAGCCACGCGTATGAGTCACCCGCACGGAGGAAACCGACCAATTGGCGCGCCCGATACAACCGCGCCGTACACTCTCGCATTTATTTACGTTGGGCACGCGATTTTTATCGATTTTCCCGAACGGCCATTCTTGAGTGGATTTAAAATCGGGATTTCATTCCCGCCCTGCCACCTCGCGTGTATGAAATTTTGAGCGGGAAAATGCCCTGACGCAAAAAATACCCGAAATATCAACAGATACCTTGATATCGCATCGCACTATCGAGTCTTCGAGAACCGAACATATAATAAGAGACACCGTTTGATGACTGTATCCTAATAAGAAACAGATGCCTATCAGAAAAAAGGGGGAAAAGCCAACTTGCGTCACTTTCCTGTGTAAACGTAAAGTACACATACTTATTCGTTGAAGTGCATGTAAGCTTTCTTTGGCTGTTTTATTATTTACGTTAATAATATACAAAATGTTAACGCCATTAAGTATGTGCCATTACGTGTAATAGAATTTACTTGGGATAAGAACAAGGGCGACGCACAGGCCTCTTGTCTATTCAAGGAAATAAGACAAGTGTACGGAAAGTAAGACGCTGGAATAAAAAAAAACAGATTACAAAAATACATAAGAGAAGGTACAGTAGAATTGTAAGAATCTCTGCCTCCGTTTGCGAGACTAATACAAGTTGAAGGTAAATTGCCCGCGCTCGATTTTAACCATTTCGAGAACGTGTTCAAATATGTACATTAACTTACATTCATAAAGGGTGTATCAACAGGAGTAGAACTTCAATTGCGCGTCACTTTCCCCATGTTAGTTTTTGAAGGCTAATATGTGAGTTGTCACCTAAAAATATAGTATATTGACAAAGTTGAGTGAAGCTTATTGTCGCCAGTGGTATAATTAAACAAAGAGAAAATTTGTTAAAAGTCGACCAGACTGGCAAAAAGTGATCTTTAAGTGGAAACAAATTACAAACGCTCAAACCGCAATACAAAGAAAAGAACGTTAAGTATGTACAAAGAAGGAAAATACCTAACGTTGACTGAAATGGTATATTAATTAGAGCGCTGTATGATTCGCGCGACGAAGCGTTTTTATTCAAATAATTTATGAAAAGCGCTCATTTATGGCGACTCAGAAAGTTGCGCGGAAATCTGGCCATAATATGCCCTCCAAAACCGCAATAAGCAATTTACCTCCTGTCAAGACACTCTTTATGTGCAATATTTCACAATTATACAATCAACGTGTCTTCTAATGAGAACGCATGCTGCTTAATGCACATCGTTGGTCGGCGAATATTTTGTGTAGATTACAGTCGACGAAATTTAGATTCTCGTCGGTATCTATAGACATAATTTACAAGATAGATGACTACATACTACAAAGGATAACCGATATCTGTACATTTAAGAATATAGAATCTCTTTTATGATAAGCTTTTGTTTTAGAAAACCAGCCGTTTAGCCTTAGTCTTCTCAACATATAAGGGCCTGAGCAAAATGACTGTTTTATATTCTTAAGGCAGTCTTAAGACAATGTTTTATGTTTTAAGCCTTTGTCTTGAGGTAATGCACAATAACTGTCTTATGTCTTAAGAGTACAAGACAGCCATTCTGCTCAGGTCCTAAGACAATCGACCTTCTCGTATGTTAAGATACGCGTGAAGCGACATGCTACAAGTTTAGTAACAGTCCATCGAGTTGACGTCGTTCTGCTTGTACATCGTCAATATATCATCTAGAATCGACTCGAAACTACTGGTATACGTCTTCAGCCAGCGATTCTTCTCCTCGATGTACGCGTCGATGTCGCAGTTGAAGATCGCGTGGAGGAAATCTTGGCGCGTCACGGACGAGATGTAACGCAGCGTCTTCTTCTCCTCCTTCTCCTCCTCCTCCCCCTCTATTGTCATCTCGGTATCCATGGAATTCTTGTAGATGTTTGCGAGCAGATTGGCATCGTTTGCATCCACGATCTCCTCAATAACGTGCGAGGCATCCCGCGTTTTCTCGCCGTAAGTAGACGAAGGAATGGACGGTGTTTCGTTAACATAGACGGTATTTATTGTGGTGTTATTTTTCACCGGCGACGGCGGTTCGTCCAGCTTGTACCTGAGCAGACAGGTTTTCAACTTGTCGATTATCGCGGCGGACACTTTGCACACCTCGAAGTCACTGTCATCCTTTAAGGTAACCAGAAGCACCTGAAAGATCAAGGGAAAAAATCGCTCAAAATATCAAGATTTATTTATAAAGAATTTATGCATTATATTCACTCATTCATTTCTTCAGCTGCTTATGGACTGTAAACTTTAGGAATGTGAAACTCGCGACATCAAAAATCTATTTACTTACACCTAGACAATTTTGCCGCGCCAACTCGTCCAGTGCCTTGTTGAGCCTCCGCTTAATCTCGGTTTCGTTCAATGCCACGATCTTCCTGTGCTCCTTGGAAAACGTTACGTTCGGGAAGCAGTTGTCGAGCATTCCCTGATCCGTCAAGTGCGATTTAACAAAGTGATCCCAAAAGGACAACGCATTTATCTTCACCTCCCAGTGCAGATCAAACACGGCCGCCACACACATCGCTCGCAAGATCGAATCGATGACCTCTTTCCTGCAGATTGTACGACATTGATTATTGTACAATGTATATTAAAATTAGTTGCTTCACAATGTATCAAGTACTATTGATTTAAGAAACTCAATACGTACGACCACTTCTGATAAACGTACAACTCCTTAATTAGATTCACAGCCTCTCTCCTGACTATAGCCTCGCTTTCCTCCTTGAGTAGATAAATCGCCGTTTCCTGCAAAAATCAGTTAACTCATATAACTCATCTTTTTTCCTCAACGATATTAAAAAAACGAATAAAGAAGAGGTAAGTATACATACGAGTAAGTCTACTTGCGACAATTGCTGCTGCCACAGCTTGTTGATGCGTATCATAGTAGTGACGAACGTCAACGCTGACGCTCGCACGTAACTCTCGCCGTCTGTTTTAATAATGTCGACTGCCACTTTCGGAAACTGGTTAATCAACAGAAAGTCTTGGAATGCCGGATATTCTGCGAAAAAATTATGCATTTCTACAGGCTTTGTCCTACGTTAATTATGTACGTTGTCCTAGCTATGTTAATCAAAACAAATAATAGGCTATCCAATTTCAATAGACTGATTCGCTTACTATCTTCGGAAATAGTCGCGATGGTGTTGAGAACCTCGAGAACACTGTCTCTCACCTCCCAATTGGGATCGTGCAACCTTTTGAAGAGCGTAGGTCCAATCTCGTTCATGTGGCTGTCCGAGTCCACGAGTAGCGCCAAATTAGGCGGCATGAAGTTATGGATGGCGAGTTTGCACAGCTTCAACGCCTTCACACAGATCTAAATGGAAAGATGGAAACTCAGATGGTCGTTTTCCAGCTTCTTTTCCAAGTAACGACTATTGCGATTGAACTTTTCTCACACGAACAATTAACGTCTCAGCAGTAAATCTTTTACCGTTGGTAGTATCCCGGGGTGATTGAGAATCTCTTGTGCGAGGGACAACACACATATCGTCTCCACGCATTCCTGCCATTTCAGTTTAAACTTCTCTGTCATGATAGCCAAGCCATCGAGCAGCGACGCCAGCAGAATAGGATAGTCCACTATAGGATCACCGTCCAATATCGATTTGTATAGGAACTTCCGCGGATGCTCCGAAGGAGAGGTGCTGTTTACGTTCGACGACGTGAAATTCCTCGTTTGCCCACACCTCCACATGTCCGGCATGTAGCTCTTCAAGACGTGGCATAAAGTTTGGAAAGTGATCACAGCTACGTCCTGGAGAAAGGCACAATTACAAGAGTTGATCGAGATCAATTTCATTTAACCTTCGACAGAGAACGTGGGGTCTGTCAGACTCCAGTCACTAATTTCCAATCATAGTATCCCTACAACTTTCTATGTAGACGCAAGTGAAACTTTACTCGCTGAATTTCATTATACACCTTTGCCGGGTGTCAAGAAAAATATACATATTTTGTTTTGTTCTAATAAATAAAAAAAGTTTCATCATATTTTAATTGTTACATTAGTTTGTAGTTCATTGGTCACTTATAAATCAATATATTCTGACAATATTGCTTGTAATCAGTTTCGTATCCCGTGGGATCCAGCGAGCCCCACGTTCCCTGTCGACGGTTTATAAACCGTATGTGCTCACTCTGTCCATTATGTCTGATATTTCGAGGAGCATGTCGATAGAAACTTTACAAATCTGCTCCATCGGAAAGTCCCCCTTCCGTATTATGTCCCTCATGTTGTAAGCTAATCTTTGTACAGTGATGCACGTTACTTCGAAAATTTTACTGATAAACATATCGAAGAGATCTTGATTAAAGTGATTCTTCTTCATGCACACGCACAGTGGTATTATCTGTCAACAAATAAAAATCGGTTTACTTGTGTCCAGTCACACTCGCAAGCCCGTATCAGACTATCTCACGATAATCTCGACTGGTCAAATCAGTCTAATCTCAATCCCAACCCGCAGTCTGATACGGGCTGCATGAATATTGAATGCGCGAGAGCTGCGACCGACTTTACCATTAATGTGATGGCTTGGTGCTCAAACTTGTGCTGCTCGGGCGGAACAAACTGGCGTAACGCGAGCAACTTTTTCCAGTACGTCATAGAGAACTTGTTGTTCTTCAGCAGCTCTATAATGTCCTTCTTCGACAGCAACATCATGGAAATGTAGCACAGACCGTAGCAGAACTTGTTCCACGCGTCAGTGTCGATTATCGTCGTATGCTCCTTGATTCCCTGCTTCAGCTTCAGAAACAGCGACAGCAGCAGCAGTTTGTGTACGTGTTGGAGGAACCTGGTGCTGATGCAGACCTCGAACAACGCCTTCATCCGCATCTCGAGGTCCACGAGTCTCTCGATCAGCTCGGGAATGCTGTTGTCCAGGCTGGCGAACAGAGTGTTCTCTAGGATGCTGGTCAACAGGTCCAGCGTGGTGCACAGCAGCTTGTTCTGCTCCAGATACGTCTCCTCCAGGGCCTGATGCATTTGCACGTCCAGAACGTTGCTCATCAGCGGAGCGGCGACCGCCAGAATGATCTCTTTGCACGTCTCGAGGTTCCTTTGCTCGTGCAGCAACAAGGTCCACAAGAATCTCCGGCTCTCCCTCGTGACGTACATCGTCTGATTCCAATGCGCGTAGTTCACAACGTCCTTCCACACGCCTATTGCGTTTAGGAAGACAATTGTTATTATTAATCTGCAAATCTGAATACGCAAAATAACCATACATTTTACACACACATACTAAAATTAAACAAATATATACACGTTCCAAACAGTAACGTTTTCAACCTTCTGCTTTCCGTAACATAATTCTGGATAGAAGCTAAGCATCAATATCACGGTTTCGCCTTACCAGACTGTATCACCCACTGTCTGCCGCTCCGATGAACGATCAAATCCAACAGCATTGTGGTGTATGCCATCTTAATGGACGCAGGCAAATCGTCCCTGTGCAACTGCAGGATTCGGTAGAGTCGATTATACACGTCCTGGCACTGCCAGTAGTGGAAGCGCAGCTCGTGCTGCGAGATGATCCCCACTAGTTTCAGGGTAAACGTAATCACAGGCTGCGGGACCTTCTGCCCGGACTCCCAGATCGCCACGGCCCTCGGTATCCACTTCTGAAAGACCTCGCAGTACTCGTAATCGACCGTGGTACCTGCAAGATTATAGGCAGCGAGGTATAACATTATCTGAGCGACGAGGGGGAGTAAAGCCGAGAGAAGCATCCTCTCCTTACATTCTTTCGTGTTCTCCGCAATGTGGGTGAGCAAATGGTCCAGGTACGTCGTCGAGACAACGTTGTAATCCGGCAGCAGGAACAGGTCCAAGACCTGCGCCAGCACCTCCTCGTTCCTCTTCCTGCACGAGTTCATCGCGACGTCGCCGACAGATCCGCCCCGCGGGCTCCCCAGCTTCGATCGGCGTGCAAACGTGCGGCGAGAGACTGGCGCGACGGGACGAATTTTTATTTACGTTCTGCAAGTGACGATTAACGCTCGTTGACAAGATGAAAAATTTCCGATACGCTGATAAGCCACCATTTTGCGAAAATCGAGAGAAACTCGGGAGATGTACCACTCACGGCATTTGTCCAGCGACGGGGCTTTATCCGCGATGTTTCGACGGCCGTGACGTTCGGCTGCGGGCCCTTTCTTGACACAACACGAAACCGCCTGAACCTTAGCACGTGCGCCGATGAGACACTGATCCAAAAATAGGCTCGTTTCCGCGCAAATTGGCGCGACGTCGTCGATAACGCGGATCCCAGCTGTACCCCCTCAGCCGAGACGCGAACCCTTGACGCGTCAGGTTCCCGCGTTACCGACAACGCAGCCGAGTGGCGCGCCATTTCAATTGTACCCTTACGAAAGGTACGTTCCGTTTCACGCATAAAGTGTCATTTATCTTTAACATCGGGAAAATAACAAGGATAAATAATACACGGTGTTCATCATGCGTGAAACGGAACGCGAAAACATGGATTCGCACGCGAATTACGTGTAGTAAGCTCGCGAATTGACGGCGCGTCGCTTGCGCAAAAGGAGCGGGCAACGGAGTAATAGCAAAAACGTGACTGTATTTCATAAAAGCTTGAGTAAAATACATGCTATGTAGCTGTGAAGCATATCTGCGTTAATTACAGTTATCGATAAGAATCCTTTACGTTATCATAAAATTCTATACCATATACGACCGTTTATGCACGTACGATGTATCGAACGACACGAAGACAACGTATGTCTCGCACAAGACGCCGTTCGATACAACGTACAATAAACAACGCTTTGACCTGAATCTCACATATTGTTTATAACACACTCGTTTATAAACGACCAAGGGTTCTCGGTCACCTCGCGTCACGAGATCGGAGGAGAAACAAGCTGCGCGTGAGAGGAAATCGCTCGCGCGGATGTGGATTCTGAAATGAATCTCGTATCAAGCGACGATCACGCGCTTCCCTCCGCTTCTCGTGTCGTAACTCGGTGGTGACCGGCGCACAGATGGACATCAAGAATCTTCAGCGAACAAAAAACGGATCGACCCTTCGGTATCGAACTCTACGGTCATTTCTCGAAGTCTCGAGCTCCAAGCCTTCCAGATTACTGGAATGAAGGGATCTCCTCCCCGAATGGCTTCGAGAGCAGACGTCGAAACATGATCTCGAAAGAAAAGCAAGGATCTAAGCTTCTAAATTTCACAACTAGAAATATTAGCTGGTATTTATAGTCGGTTCTCACTTCGATTTCTAAATACTTGAAATTATTATAAGTTGAATATTAAATATTTGAGCTCTCAAGTATAAGAACTACGAATACCAGCCGTTAAAGTTTCGAAGATAAGATTCAGAGCATCCGAAATTCGACAAGTCCGGATTTACTGCGGACGTTATCCTAAAACAATGACGCCAAACTCCTCAGTGTGACGTAACAAACAACGGATTAACGCAAACGTGTATCGTTGGTACAAAAAAAAAACAATTTACTGTATAGGAAACAAACTCTCGAATGACTCGAATGCAAGATCTGTCTTTAGCGCGCCGCGCTCTCAATAGGCTTTCCAATATCAAAATTTCCACGCGACCTAACTCTTCTGCAAAGTATTCTAATAGCGAATTCGGTTGCTTGCACTAGCGCGCACTAAGGCTTGTTTACAGTCAATTCTCATATTTAAGAATAGTCTTGAATATTCTTGAAATATTTCGTGACCAGTAAAATAATCTGTATAGCATCCATACGGATTATGTTTTGGCTAAATACTCTGTGAAAAGTATATTTAAGACAAAGTTAAATATAGGAATTGACTATAAACTGGCCTTGGTGTGCACTCAGTGCGCGCTAGTGTAACCAACCGAATTCGCTACAAGACTAATGGATTTACAATTAAGGAATAAAAGTTGTCGAGGCAACGTGTCTCCTACGTGTACGGCGATCCAAGATTTCAAAATCCAATGATTCTAAGAGCAAAGGACCTCCCCAGAGACGTCTGAGCTTGAGAAAGCGGCTTAAAAACACGAGAAATCTTTAGATCCTTTTTACATGTAGTTCTGAACTTTGTAAATTGATAAGATCCTAAAAATATCGTGTCAACGCTTACACTTTTGTGGGTTTACATCGATCGTTAAACAAAAATATTCACTTTAAGTATTATGTATATGTATTTGTATGTATACTTATATAGACACTTAGATATACTTAAGCGTTTAGAGCGTACACTCTTCTTTTAGATCCGCAAGTCTGCTTTAGATTCTCAGATCGTTGGACTGTTGAATCCTTGGAACTTTTAGGGCCTTCAATTGTCACGTTCTCTCATTTATCGAATTCCAAGTTTTCTTAGATACCGTAGTCCCGGCGATCGCTGAGATCTCCCCGGAATCTGACTCTACCCCGATTACGTATTCCCTTTTCTTTTCTCTTTCCAAATCAGACAATCTCCCCTTTGAAGGAACTAATCGAAACCTCTCCTCTAGAGTTATGCTTCCGCCTCTACCAGTACTCGCACGCGCTATGTGATTACTCAGGCTCGAAGCTAAACAAATACAACACCCGTTAAATCGTGTGTGAACACAGCGACACTACACCCTAGTTACTTTCGTTTACGTTCTTAAACGCACAATAAGATTACAATAATATCCGCAAGTATGCCGTGTAGGCGTCTGTTCAGCATTCGCGTTCAATATTTATACTATGGTTACTTGGAACATGGAAGCAACATGTCAATGTTTCATTTTTTTTTTCATTTTCTTACGTAGAACACTCAAACGATATTAATTGCGTAGTACGACAAAGAGCTCGGTCTGAATGACATTTCAGGCGTCATACGAGAGGAAAGGAGCAAGATGACGAAAAAGATCATCCCGTGACCAAGAGGCGAGACGCTTTCGCGACTGCGTTGTTTAACTCTATATCTGCCCTTTTCCAGAAATAATCACGTTTCCCTCTCTCTGTCTTCCTTCTCCCGTAGCCCGTAGTGTTACACATTAGAGCTGAAGTAGTAGTTACAAACGGAAACATCCGAGAAGAAAAAGCGCCGACGGCCGGTGTCACGGGCCGAACGTGCGGCCGACTTCCCCGCATATCTCTTAGTTGGAACGCACCGTTTGGAGAAGTACCTTGCGCGCGACTATATAAAAGGGGTTTCTGTGGAGAGCCCTCTCCTCAACTTGGCGACTTATGTTTTCGCGATGTCCATCGGTGAACCTGAATGAGGCGCAGATACGGGGTTCGCCGTAGGATTGGGAGCGATGGTCGGCGGCCCGCCGGGACTCACGATAGTGGGCGGAATCGCCGGCTTGACGAAGCGGTCCGAGGTGCGTCTGCTGGACGATGCCACAATGTGTCCCTGTTTCGCCAAACATTTGCAAATAAGGATAAAACGGTCATTCCTCAGAAACGCCCGTTTTCACCAACATCGCTTAATTGTAATCTTAGTTTAATTCATACTTTGTCTCTGTCCGGTTTCACCAATGTCGCTTAATTCTGATATTAGTTTCATGTCTCTAGCGGGACATTAAATTGAGATAAAAATTAAGCGACGTTGGTAAGACCGGGCCTTAGCGGTTCTCTCAGTCATTGAACACAATCGTTGAACAATGCCAGGTACTAATTGAAATAAAATTGTCCCGCGGTAAGGAAAGATCTTTCTAGCATACAACGATCAATTAGTCTCCAGCAATGATTCTCTGCGTAATTAGTGATTTACCCCAGAAGGAGGCGATGAGCTCGCGAATGGAGGGGCAGTCGGCTGGCCGCAGGCGTAGCACCGATTCGCGCTGAAGCCTTCTCTGGAGGTGGAACCTAGTACGTTAACACCTAACGATACAATGTGCACTTGCATGAACTCTTATAAATTGGTATACTGATATATCCATTCACATTTATTCACGCGTTCTCTGACTAAATAGCTCTTGTCTACTCACCAGGGCTTAGTGGCCTCGAGGAACTAGGCGAAGGATTGTAGGGCACAGGACTGGACACCGTGCGGGTCCTTATGTTCCCCCCGGACATGACAATTTCGTTGTAGTGCCGTTCCTCTTCCATCTCCAAGCTGCGAAAATCATGTCTGTGAGATTAGGAACAATAAGTGTCTTTTGAGTCTAGCATTCGGTTACACTACAGGGGGTGGACAAAATAATGTGAACACCTAACACACAATATTTGTAAATTAATTAATAAGGTGTAGGGCTACCGTTTGCTTTTAAGACAGCTGTAATTCGTCATGGAATAGATTCGTAGAGTGTACAGATAGGATTGTTCAGGTGACTGTTGAGTTCTGCTGCCACCTTTGCTGCGGTAGTTTTATGTTGCTTGGTCACAATCCTTTTTACAATTCGACTATCTGTTAACGTTGTTTTGCGCCCACTTGTTCTCTTCGTAGACGTTGTTTTGCCATGTTTTGTGTAGGCTGTCATCACCGTGGGTACTGTCGCTCGTGAAACGTCAAACAGTTCAGCCGTTTTCGTCACAGATGCTCCTGCTAACCGAGCACCCACGATTGGGCCTTTTTCGAAGTCTGACAGGTAGCCCATTTCACCATCCGATTGTTAACATCGTCGTAAAAAAAAGCGAGTAGTATATTGAAATATAAACTAGAACGGTTACTACGTAAAGTGCGCCACATATGCGCGCCGCATCGTTCATACCTTGGCAGGGGCACCAACATAAACAAATGTGTAATATTTAGCATGGTGTTCACATTATTTTGTCCACCCCCTGTATATTTATACAAATTATAGTTTGACAAAAGGAATAATATCAAAAGATGCCGCATGCAATAATTTGAAAGAAAAACAAAAAGGAAAACACAACTCAACCGACCTGGACTCCGACTCCGAGAGGTGTCTGCACAAGGCCTCGCGACGCTCCACCTCTAGCTGCAGCTTTCTCTGCAGTCTCAGATTCTCCTCGCGTATCTGCTTCTCCTCGTTGACGTACCGCTTCATTTTTTCCGTATCTGAAAACGACGGTGAATTTAGGAGACTGAATTCCTTTTAGCGATGAATTGGGATTACGTGCACGATCAAATTCGATCAGTCGACTTTTGCAATTTTCGTGATTCATGCTTGTTTATCATAAATGGAACCGTAGCGTTTTCGGACGGCGCATTCCTTCTCGAATTCGATCGGTGATCCCAATCCGGATTGGAGACGAAGACTGTGGCCTCACGTTCTTGCTGCGAGATGAGCAAGGTGTGCTTCAATCGTGCAACCTCGCTTCTCAGAGTCTGAATGTGCGTGCTCAGGTTTGTGGCGGTGTCACCGTTGTTGATCTCTCTAGGCGAGGTAGGGTCCGAGACGGGCTGGTCCAGCTTGATCTGCAGCATCCGCTTCTCGGCCTCGAGCTTGTCCATTCGCTTCCACAGCTTGTTCACCAGCGCCTCCTGCTCCTGCTCCAGAGTGTTCTCCAGCTCGACTTTCTCGCGCCGCAGCTGCTCCAGATTGCTCTGCTTGGCAAGCGTCTCCGCCTCCAGCTTCTCGATCTTCCTCATCAGCTTGTTCACCAAGCACTCCTGCTCCTGCTCCAGCGTCTGCTCGAGCCGGCACTTCTCCTGCCGCAGTTGATTCAGCTTCCTCGACAAGTCATTGGTAAGACACTCCTCCTCCTGCTCGTAGTGGTGGGCCAGAGTCTCCTTCTCCTTCTTCAGAGCCTGGATCTTCTTCAGCAGCGTGTTGCTTATGAATTCCTCCTCTTGCTCGGCTTTCGCTTGCTGCAAACATAAGGAACGTGAGTCACGAACGAGACACTCCGTGAAATATGGGATAAAATAAACAACAGCTGTTATCTCGATTAACATTTAAATAGACCGAGTCCGCCTCGCGGATCGTCAACGGCAAGATGTAACATTCGATACCGCTCGCGCGTATAAAGAAACAGAGGCGAAACAAGGAGGAAATGGACTCTCACAATGATGACAGACGCCTGGCGCAGGCCGCGGTTCTCCTCCTGCAGCGCCTTGACCCGCAGCTTGTACGTCTCGAGCTCGACCTTGAGCACGCGGTTGTGCTGCTGCAGGGACTCGATGCGCTTCTGCAGCTGCTCGCGCGTCACCGGCGACGGCGGCATCATGATCGGCCCGCCGTCGATCGAGCTGGAGTCGCTCTCGGACGCGCTATCGCGATCGGCCATGTTTTCCACGCGGGTAAACGGCGACGGGCGGCAATGACGAGTGACGGCGCGAACGGCGAGGGTGCTTCACGACCGGTTATCGCCGGCCGCCGCTCATCGTACGCGACCCCGGAACGGGGGAGGGGGGGGGGTGAAACACGGAGCCTGGGCCCCTGAGACTCTGAGAGTCGCCCGGCGCCGCGGCGTGCCCACGTGCACGTGTGCCCCCTCGACTCTCAGCGCGCGTACGCGCCGCACGCTCAGGGTGGACGCACGCGGGATACGCGATTACACCGTTTCAGCGCGGCCGCGGCGCGGCGGCGGACATGTGGCTCGCGCGCGCGCGAGAGAAACGGAACGGCACCGCGGAAACTTGTATCAGCTGTTTGGGCCGCTGCTCGCTCGCCGACTGTTTTCGCGACCGCGAAAGTGGCGCGGCGCGTTCCGCGGATTCTCTCTCCTTCCGTTCCGCGCGTTGTGCGCCGTGATTCGTGGCCGACCGCGGGGACACCTGGCGGTGGGAAATGGCCCGGGCGACGCGGCCATCGGGCGATACATGCGCGCGGGCCCCAAGGCCGGCGGCGTGCGCCTCTTTTATTTCGGATTCGATTCAAGGGGCGGTATTCGCGGACCTGATTGCTCGTTTTCTTCGTTTTCTTGTTAAATGTTGGACCAGAAAATATGAAAGACTGGACCCCGCACTCGGATCTTGGGTGCTTTCCAGCGAGAGACTCGAGAGGTCTGTTCGCGTCGCATGCGCCAACAATCCCAGCATGCTCCTGCTTGCCCCAACGACCAATACCGTCACTTAAATCGTTAATAAAATAACGGTATTGGTCGTTGTGGCAAACAGGAGCATGTGGGACGCGAACGGACCTTTATGTCCATTTCTATCGATGCAGATTAATTTTCCTAGTAGCACAGTGCATTGGCTAAACATTGGCTAAATATTGGTTCAATGTTGGTTATATTAGAATTGCATTGGCTGATATTTAACAATGTAATAACAATATTGGTCTAATATATTGCTAAATAGACATATTGGCTAAATAAAGCCCGTATCACACTACAGATTGAGATTAGATTGAAATTTAACCATTCGGAGTATAGTTTACTAATCTCGCAGAGCGCAAAGCGACGTAACAGCTTACGACAAAGACGCAAGCGTAAACGCAGATAGCGCACAAGCTTTGGCGTAAAAGAAACGTCGTATATGGCTGGTATTACATTTGTCGTACGACAAAGTTTTTAAGCGTATTGATTGGCTAAAGGATAGTAAAATTCTCGAGTATCTAGAAACTTTCTATTCAGCGGCCAATCGACACGCTTGAAAAATTTGTCGTACGACAAATGTAATAGTACCCTATGACGTTAAGGCCCGAACACGCGAAAAAACTTAAGCGGCGAAATTTAAAACTTAAAAGAAATGACCAGTAGCTGCCGAGAGCGCGAGCAGCAATTTTGAAACTTAAGCAATTTGAAAATTCCGATTGGTTGAGATTCTTAAGTTTTAAGTCTCGCTGCTTAAGTTTCTTCGTGTGTTTCCAGCTTTACTTTACTTTTGCGCCAAAGCTTGTGCGCTATCTACGTTTGCGCTTGCGTCTTCGTCGTAAGCTATTACGTTGCTTAATTGTTTGAGAATACTAGATTTACATTATTTCCCAATATTGCGCCGATATATTGTGCTACTGGGGTTTGATCTTGACTTTCTTTTTATCTTTTTCTAGTTCTAGGAGTTGGAAAAAGATGGAAAGTAAATTGAACCGAAATTAAAGTCAATCTGCATTGGCAGAAACAGACATTACGCCCGTTTCTATCAATGCAAATTAACTGTAGTCTCTGCTTAAATTACTTCTCGTTTCTTCTTCCAACTCGTAAAACTAGAAAAAGATATAAAGCAAGTTGAAAGTTGGACTGCGTCGGTAGAAACGGGCATTAATCCACGATTACTACTAGAGCTCCCGAGTACACGTGTACTAGACTACACGTGTAATCCGTGTATTTAACTTATCCGTGTTTTAACCCGTGTACACGGATATCCGTGAACGTGATACGTGTACACGTGTACACGAATATCTGTGAACGTGACACGTGTACACGAATATCCGTGTATGTGACATATGTAAACGTGTAGTCGTGTATACTTCAATAGGGAAATATTTAGAGAATGTTGTGTGAATGAAATTATGTGACAAAATCTGGATAAAACTTGGAATGCTGGAATTATGCGTATACATATGTCGAACAACATATGCAGAAATAGAGATCTTTCATCAAATTTTGATAATTTGCAAATAATGCTTTTTTTATGGTCAAAACTTTTTTTAATAGAGGTTGCGCATACACGGACATTCGAATACACGTGTCACATACACGACTACACGTGTACACGTCTCACATACACGACTACACGTGTACACGTGTCACGGACACAGGTACACGTGAATAAAGGTACCGTGAATCCGTGTACACGGATCACGTGTACACGTGAATCTTAAAACACGTATCCAATCGTAAGCTCTAATTACTACGTTCGCCGCGCATGCGCAAAATGGCCCGAGTCGCAAACCGCGTGGCACGACTGGCACGCGCGATCGCCGTGGTACCTCGTGGGTTCGTGCCGGGGTCTCGCTTGTGTCGCGGATAAATAAGGAGGATTTATGCGGCCGCGAAGATGACGAGCGACACGGAAGAAGATGAGAATCTACGCGGTATCGACGTGGAAGTCTCCGAACACCACTCGAAGCTCGTCAAGGCTGTCGCGCAGCACGACAAAACACAGAGGTGAGAAACAAAAGGCGAGGTTACCGTAAGAATGCTGAAATCCCGATCTTCCTCCGTTTCGTTTTGTTAACTTTCGCGTTGTTCACTTGTCGCGTTTCCACTGTAACTTCTTTCTGCCGCGCAGGGTGAAGAAGGCGGAACGTAGCGAGCCCAGTCTCGAGGTATCGGAATACCATCTCGCGAAAAGCGGCGCGACGGACGAGGACGCGGTACGCGTGCGAGATCTGATCGAGTCGTTGGAACGAACGGGAGATCAGAGCAATACTGTTAAGAGGCTTCGATACATCCAGCAGAAGAACAAGGTTCTTTCGAAGCCGTTGGAGAAACCGGCGGCTGAAAGGGTAAATTGCATTAATGCGAGTTTAAGCTGACGGCTTGACTGAACTTGGTCATTGTTGCGGTTGCGTACTGTTTCAACTTTCTGCTTGTACTTTATACTCTTCGTTGAGGCAAGAATCGTTGCCCTTTTGTTGAGAAATCTACTAGCTTCTGACGTTGAATTCAATCGATTTCTGTAGCGATGTTTCACTTCGATGTCACTGAATCTTGAGTAAAAAAGCAAGAAATTATCTGATATTCAATTATTTAATGATTATAAAAAATTGCTACTTTTAAACTCGATTATTTGAATGTTGGTTTAGCTGGATATTTCCTATTCTTGTCCAGTTTATTAATTTGTGGCTATTTCCATTGTAAAATCTGCTAACAGAGTTATTTAGCATCTCAGGAGAAATAAAGGGAATAAACACTTAAGGGCCTGAATCTCTTCTAGATAAAAAGGACGATCGGTTATGACAAGGTTAAAGACGAGTTGAAAAGGTGGGAGAGTGTAGTAGCCAAGAACAGGACAGCGGAGCAACTGTCCTTCCCTCTGAAGCGTCTAACAGCGGTAAAGGATACTCGAGCTTCAAATATTCCTGAATTTCTCAGAGGCTTCAATACAAAGTCCGATTTGATGAAGAAGATTGACCAAGTGGATCCAACACCGCTGCTCCCCGCTGATAAGGAAGGGGAAAAGGATAATTTGTACAAGATGACGTTAGAAGAGGTGATCATGAGGAGAAAAGAAGCTGCCCGGCTCAGAGCCCAACAGGTATAGAAAAGTTATTATTCACAGTTACCGAGATTAAACTGCTAAAAAAATTACGCCTTAAACGAAGAGGATAAGAAATTGATTTGATGAAAACTTAGTTTTAATCTCTTTGCACTTTCAGTCGTACAAAGAAGCGAAGGCACATCGCCAGAGCAAGATAAAGAGCAAGAAGTTCCATCGGATCCAGCGGAAGAGTAAGATCAAACAGCAGTTGAAGGATTTCGAACAGTTGAAAGACAGTAATCCGCAGGAAGCCCTGGCAAAGTTGGAACAATTGGACAGGACCCGCGCTGAAGAGAGAATGTCGTTGAGGCATAAAAACACGGGTCAGTGGGCTAAGAATAAGCAGATCAGAGCCAAATATGACAAGGAAGTAAGTGGCTTAAAATCTGGATAAAGAAACATTTATTTTTTATAGAAATTATCCTAATGGCGATGTGTACCTTCAATGGCCTGAATCCCCTTTTATCGATAGAAATGTCCGTAAAATATTTTCCCGGCCAACAAAAATTCGCCGAAACCAATTTTAGTGACACTTTTAACGATAAAAGACCTGAGAGTATGGACCATTCTTTAAGAAATAACGAAATAACTATTATTTGAATATTAAAAATGTTAAATGATTAAGAACAACTAAATGTAACGAACGCTTTTTTTATTAGACGCGACAAGTTCTTGCTGAACAATTGGCTATTAGTAAAGAGTTGACACAAAAAGTCAGGCGAACGGACAGTGATGAAGAAGATGAAGAGGATGAGGAAGATGAAAATATGCAAGGCAGAGAGGATATGGAAGACGACACACTGTCAAACAACAAGGAAGGCAACGTAAAGACTGAATCTGAAATTGATGATTTTATTAAGCTCTGTCGGAATTACTACGATAAGAAGCAACAGACGGGAAAAGAGGAAGTCGGGAGAGATGAAGTTTCAGACGAGATCGTACCAGAAAAGGAAAACGAGACGTTGCGTCACGACGAAAAGAATAGTGCCTTGCAAGCGAATAGAAGTGATACGGAGAATAGCGTGTTACGCAGCGATAAGAAAGGCGGTAATTTGCAAGCAAGTGCAAGTGATACTGAAAGCTTGTCCTGCAGCAACAAGAAGAACAGTAGTTCATTAACAGATACGAATAATGTAAAAAGTAAAACTCGTAAAAGGAATAAGAAGAAAAAGAGTTCCCCGTCCGACCCAGTAGATGCCGCAGGCGAACATAATAATAAAAGATTAAAATCGCAAGACATAAGTGTTGAAGTGGAATCGTCTGATTCCAAGGGATCGAAAAAGAAAAAGTCAAAGCAGAATGTAAAGGGGCAAAACGTAAAGAAGAAGCGCAAGACCAACAATTTGGAGAGGCATGAAGAGGAGGATGAAGATTATTTACCAAACCTCGAGTTCGAAAACCCTAAACGGAAACCTATTTTGGATTCTCCCTTAGAGGAGACAACTTCCAGGGAGAATGCGCAGAAAGGTAGTGATCTGGCGAGCTCGAGGGCGATAACGAATGGTACGATACAAGAACCGGCTAGCATTGGCCACGAAGCGGAGATAGATCCGAGAAAATATGTCAACATAAAGCCCAAATACCTAAAGACGCAGCTGCCGGATGTGACTACGGGCGGGGACGAAGACAGCGAGCAGGAAGAAGAGAGTCACAGAATAATGAGCGAGGCATTCGCGGACGACGATGTTGTCGAGGAGTTCAGGAAGGAGGAGGAAGAGGAGGTACGTAATTTCAAATAAAAACTGTACTTATAAAAACGTTTACGCAACGTCGTCGCGTTGCGTTTCCACAAGGAATCCGCAAAAACTTGTTAATAACTTAATGCATGTAAAATTATTCTAGATGAAACAGTCGCAGCCGCAAGAAATTGACCAGAGTCTACCAGGCTGGGGAAGTTGGGGAGGGTCGAACATCAAGAAGAACAAGCGGACTCGTAAGAAGAGCCGATTTATACTGACTGTCCCGAAGGTAGCGCCGCGTAAGCCCGAAAACCAGGGAAAGGTCATCGTGTTCGAGCACGATAACGAAAAATTGAGGAAACACCTCGTCAAGGAGCTACCCTATCCGTTTACCAGAGTCAAGGACTTTGAAGCGAGCATCAGAGCTCCGATCAGCAGGACTTTTGTCCCGATGAACGCTCATTTGCGGCTCGTTCAACCGGCAGTGACGACCAAGCTTGGACAGGTGATCGAGCCAATGGATGAGAACGAGTTGGTGAAGAAGCAGCCGATGTTGAAGAAACCGCTAAAACGTGTCGCTGCAAAGGCTAATAAGAAGAAAAATACTTTTAAGAACAATAACAAGAAGAAACGTAAACGTAATGTACCAAATGTATGATAAAATCAATTTCATTGTTCTACAGTCGCGAGATACAAGATTATTTGGAGATTACTGGTTAATAAAGTAACTGTTAATTCGTTACTTATTCTCTGTATTGCTGAAAATATACCAAGAAAATTATGAGTAGCTATGCATTTGTATTAGAAAATATGTATTCACATGCGCGCACACGTGTGTTGTACCCATCCAGAATTGATTAATTCAATCGAAGTTAATTTAATGTCGATACTTTTGTTACGTTCGATCTAATCACAGTTATTTTTATTATTTCAATGTGCAGTTACGAATATTTCTACAAGATTTATATTGTCCTTCGGTCTTTTCTATGTCGAGTTCAAATTTAGTTAGAACTACGAATCGAAACTTTCAAATACGAATATCTTTTCTATTAAACTTCTAAACCGAGTGTTTTAAATATGAAAACGTTCTGCTATGCGGTCCGCAATTTATCCTGGTGTTATTTTGTGCACAAAAGCCAATAAAAATTGCAGGCGCGAAAACTACATTTGACTGTGTCGGTAAAGAAGATGCCTGAGGGATCCTGCATAATCGCGTTTATCAAGTGACGCAGTTACGTACCGTCTCGCGGCGCCCCCGTCGGCGGCCGGCGAGGCCAGTTCCGCCCGGCGCCGTCCGCGGCGCCACGCTGCGGAAGCGCGCGCAGCGGTTGGCTGGCGGTGGCGGCAGCGCCGGCGGTGGGGGCGACGGCGGTGGTGGTGGTGGCGGCGGCGCAGCATGCCTGGCAGCACCGGCGACCATCCGTCCGTCAATCAGTCAATCGGTGTGCCTCTGCTCGGTGTGGTTAGTGTGTCAGTCAGTCTACGAGCACGCGTCACCGGGAGTAGTAGCGCCTTGTGACTTACGCTCTTGTGTATTCGCATACTTGGACCGCGAGGTTCGGCAGCGGAGGCGATAAAGGCCGGACGAGGAGGCGAGAGGACGGCGTGAGTCTACGCGGACAATCGCGCGTGGCCACTCTTTTTGCGAGGGATCTCTCGGAGCGAGGACGACCGCGACGACGAGAGGATGGCGGACACCAAGGACGACTGCGCCGACAACGTGCAGTTCTTCGAGGGCGTCGAGAAGCTCCTCGAGGTCTGGTTCGCCAGCTCCAAGGGCCTCAAGCAGCATCAGGGTGATCTGCGGCAGATACCAAGGTAAGTGTGCACCGCCCGCCGGCGTCTCGCTGCTGCTCTGCTGCTTCTTCTTCTTCTTCTCCTCCCCTTCCCTCCCCCCGCGAGAACGGTGACAGTCGAAGCCGGCCAGGCCAGGACGGACGATGACGAGCCGCGCCGGCGTCGAACCGTTGAGAGTCGTGGGCTGGACTGATCGTTTTCGACTCGTCGATTTCGCACGCGCGTGCGAATCTCTCTCTCTCTCTCTCTCTCTCTCTCCTTCCGGACGGTTTTCCAAAAGCGGGCGCTAAATCGAGAGCACCGCTGTCGCGCCCGCCCGCGATTGACTCGCGAAAATGCGGTGCTTCCTGACAGGCGAGCGGCGACGAAGGTTATCGCGCACGAGCGTCGAGCGTTGTCGGATGAGGGTTTATTAAAAGCCGCCGAAAGTATCCCGTACGTTGTCGCCTGTGAACGCGCAAGACTTTTCAAGTAACGTAGGCGCGGGAACGCGCGGAAGTGTACTTGCCGCGAAGGGAGAAGACCCTCCCCGAGAAATTCGGAGCAAAATTCCCTGTTGAGGCCCGGGTTTTCGTCCGCTGGTCAATCGTTAACCAGAGATTAGGCGGCTCTCGGTCTCTTATCAGATAATGACATAGAAAAGGACGGAGAGCCGACCAACTTCTGGTTAACAACCAGAAAATGAGAAACCGGGCCCGGAGGCCCGCGTCCACGTTGCCGGAACTTGCTCCAAGTTCTGGTTTCTGGAGAAATGTGCGGCCAGTCAACTTGCGGAGTAGCTGGCTCCACATTTCTCGTAGCTGCAACTTGGACCAAGTTCTAGCATCGTGGACGCAGGCCTTAAGAGACAGACTTCTAATTGATAGGCGTCATCTTGGAGCGAAATCTGTCGAGCGGGAAAATCGCTGTAACCGAGCGGTAACCGTCGCGATAGGAGATTCGCGATTGAATTTCGACGCGGAAAACCTGCTGTCTCGTATTAGGAGCCTGCAGCATTGCAGGAGACTTCACTGTCGAGGGCGTCCAGCTGTAAAATGGCTGCATGCACGTCTTCCCCTCGCTCTCTAAGGGAACTAACGTTAGGAATTAACTCTCCTCGGGGTTCCCTCGAAATCGCACGAGTTGACGAGTACACCCGGAGTACCCGAGAAACACGTCCGCGAGCGACGAGAGGAGAGATTCGCGCGACGGAGAGACAGTCATCAGCGGGTGATTTTCCCCCCTAGACCTCGGTATCGTCGGGCTTATCAGACGGCACCGATAAGTCTCCCGATGCGTTCGCGCATCGATCTCGTCCGCCCGACGACCCAGCGTCTTGCCCGCGCGAAAAATCTGAATAAAATCGATCTGGAATCCCGAGCGATTAGCGACGAGAACGGGCGATTCGCACGCAACCTGCGTCCACAATTCGACCGCGTCGGGGACAGTTACGTAACCGATTGACAGCGCGGCGCCGATCCGCGGCGATCGGCGGTTGTTTACGCGCAACGTCAGAGTGTCATTGAACCGGGGCCGAGGTGCGCGCCTACGGGCGAAACCGGCGGTGTGCCGACCACTGTTTATTTTTGCATATCGCGGCGACAATAAATTTAGAAGCCTACCCGCCGCGCCGCGCCGGCCGATGAGGAAGCGGGAGCGCGACGCCCGCGGAATGCTCATCTCCGTTGACACGCGAGATCGCGTAATCGTTGAACCCCTCGTGGAGCACCGAGCTCTCCCCGGCAGCTCGATCGACGGGGACGGAACTGTTCTCCCCCGAGGGGTAAACCGCTCAGGGCATTGCGGTGTACAGATTTCGGGCATTGCTGGGCATTACTAGGCATTTTTGGGCATTGGTATACAAGATTTTGGCCAGCGGTTTCCCCCCTCGGTTCTCCCTGTCGGGTCGAGAGACGAAGCGTGTCAACCTCGAGATCGAGATAATCCACGAAACGTCAAATAAACGTGTCCCGCGGAAAGCACGTCTGACCTCACGTCGCAAGAATTTTGCCGCGACGGGCGCAACGCGAAAGATAGAGCCTCTCGCGTAAATGTACGTACGGAGAATCGTTCTTACGTGGATCCTTTGGCCCCCGTGTTCTGAACCCTCTTTTGTCAGTAAAAGCGCCTCTAAAAGTGGCCAATAAGGCCCGGTTTCATCAAGCGTCGCTTAACTTTAATGTTAATTCAATTCACGTTTGTTTCTTTCCAATGGGATAGCCTGAAAAAGACAGAGAACGAATTAAGCTGAGCTTAAAGTTAAGCGACGCTGGTGACACCAGGCTTAAGCCTTCTGATTGGCCACAAGCCATGTTTAGAGGCGCTTTTATCGATAAAAGAGGAGTCGGAATATGGGCCGTTGATTTCAACGATTTGTTTGATTTTACGCATAGAAACTGCGCTGTACAACCATTAATTAACAAACTTCGTCATCGAATCTCGTACATTGCTCGTCAAGATCGAGCTCGCTACAAATTGGTATTGTTTGAAAAAATAATTTGTGATACTAAAAGTACGAGAAGTTTATCCAACTTGCCGACTAGCGTGTACACGGAGATAACCGAGGGGGAAACCGTTGACTGAAATCTTGTACACGAATGCCCACTAATGCCCCAGTGGACATTGCTTTATCTTATTATCTTAATTTATCTCAATGCCCCAGCATCACTTAATGTCCAAACTAATGCCCAAAAGTGCCTGATAATGCGTTGCAATGCCCAGTAATGCCGTAAATCTGTACACAATACCTTTAGCGGTTTCCCCCTCGGAGAGAACGTTCTTTTAAAATCTTTTACCCTGAAAATCGTGTATTAGTCATAGAACAACCGTTTCATAGAATTTTATGAGTTTTGACAATTTTACTACACATCTTACTAATGAAAATCGGTAAAACTACAAAAATGTAGAGCTTGTAGTCGACCAGACTAGCAAAATTCATAATAAAATTTCACAAATGTATAGAAACTACGTGATTTTCAGGTAAATTTGAAGAGAAAATTCTCACCGTGTAGTCACAAGGTTTGTCGAATGTTTAAAAAACGTGTGTGAAATTTCCGGTGTAACAAGATTAAATAAAAACGAGTAAAATTACAAAAATGCAGAGCTTGTAGTCGACCAGATTGGCAAAATTACTAGTGAAATGTACAGTAAAATTTCGCAAACTTACAAAAATGACTACGTGATTTTCAGGTAAATTTTGAAAGAAAATTCTCTCCGTGTGGTTTCAAAGTTTGTCAAATGTTTGAATAAACGTATGTTAAATTTTCCGGTGTAACACGAATAAAGGAAGACACAGATAAACTTTTGTATCTTATGCCTTATTCTAAGAGTGTTCTAACATAACGCGTTTACGATTTCTTGAAATTTTTAATGGCGCGCGTGTACTCTTATGGCAATGTCGATTTATTTTCACCAAACGATTGATATGTCGCGCGCTAACCGAGTCAATCGCTATTGTTTTTGCAGACAAAAATGGGAATCGTTGCTGAAGATAGTCCGCTGCGAGATCATCAGTTTTTGCCGTAACGATCAAGTGGACGCCTATGTCCTGAGGTAAGTAATTTCGTTGACCAGAAAGACCTTTTCACACCGCAGCTTATATAGTCATTTTTGGAAAAACTCACCAGAAAAAACCTCTTCCCGACCTTACCTATTCATGGTTTTATTTTTGCTGAAAGTGTTTCCATAACTACACTCTAAGAAATATGGATGTGAATTTTCACCAAGTGCTGATGTCAATCGGCAATACAGAGAATTGGTAGCTAAACATGTGTTCGACATATTGTAGTTGCAATGTCAAAGAAATAACGTCTCGGGAGACGCGTTAAGACAAATTTTAAGTGCTGTAAAATTTAGCAGACAATGCAAGCTCGACATCCCATAGTGACAATGTGAGTTCAAACATTCTTTCAATGTATAAATATTTACTAGGAATACATAATTAGTGATACACTTCACTATTTTTTGACTGGTTTCAACAGATATGAATTAGCCGAATTTGCCGTTTGGTTTCTTTTCAATGTGGATTAACATTTTTTAGGTTTCAATCGTTCTAATGTACACGAAACACAAATGTTTCCTCTTCCATCTGACTAAATACAGACTAAATACAGACAAAAATGTCAATTGCCCTCGAATTGAGAACGATTTGAATTTTGGTAGGCGATATTAGGTGCCTGTACCCTACATTTTTCTTTCCGTGCGCCAGTGAGTGAAATATTTACTACAATAGAGAGAATATTTGACCTCGTGGCAGTTTGTCACTCCAAAAATTTTTGAAGAGTAGTATATACATTCATTCTAAGCGAACAATAGGGCATCCTCCTTCAGTAAGCTCGAGCTGCTATCGCAAATTTCCGCTTTTACGTCCGACCGATTCAAGTGTAGGATTACTGATTAGGAACGATAAAAAAAGGTACAAACGTCCCGATTCGCGATATTTACTGAAAGATGTGCAGCTCAAAGTGTGGCAATTTGTAGTTTCGAAGATTAGATTTTGTTAATCTACTTCGATATTATCTACTAAGAAATAGTTGGGCGTCTTCTCGATTGCGATGTACTCAGAAGCCGATGTGTGTCGGTCTAAACTGCTTAGCTCGATAAAACTCGGATTGTATCACTGGAAAACAAAAGCCGTCGTATCTCTTATCTATGATATATCAATTTGAATTGAAAGTCCGGTCGCGAGGATAAGTTTGTTCGCTTTGACTGTAAAACTGCGACCCCTACGGTTTTAGATTCGCGAGAGGGTTTTGCACCGAAACTTCATGTTATTTCGCTTCTGCGAAACATGAAATACTTGAACATTTTGGGGAGGACACTTGATTACATAAACGAGTATTTCCCGAATGTAAAGTTCGCGTGTCGGAACGTGAGCGTGAAGTTAGAAAAAAAATTAAGCGCGCAATATTTCGCGCGCTTAAAGTTTCGACGAAAAAAAAAGACACGAAAATGAACCTAATTCTACGGGAAATTAACTCCGATTCCGCGTTGACTCGACGAGGTGCTCGCAGGATACGCTTCTCTCGGTCTCTCGCGGTAAAAATACGACGTTATCCGTAAAAACTATTTCAACCCCATCGTCGTTTTAATTTAGCGCAGCGCGTACGATAATTCCACGTCGGGATAAACGTGTCCGGCACGTCGCCTCGCTCGGTCTGCTAAAACTGCGCTGTTAAATCCGCGCCGGAGTAAAACGACGTAATCCTCATCAGACGGACGCGGGGGCTAATTGTCGGGCTGCGTAGTAGACGAGAAGTGGAGCGCGGGTGCTCGGGGGTTGCCAGTAACGGCGCAATTTTTCGTGACGTGCGTAGAAAGCCGAGAGCGGGTTGGTGCTCCGAGGGGCGTTCCGAGGAGAGTGAGAGCGAGAGCGAGAGGGAGAGAGGGGGGGGGGGAGAGGGCACTCAGCCGCCCGTGTACCGGTGTGGTACAATCGATATATCGAATTGTTTTGATGGAGAAGAGGTGCACCGTCCGGCCCGGCCCGGCCCGGCCGGCCACGACGCGACGCGACGCGACGCGACGCGGGGTGGAACGGGGCGGGTTGGGACGGCACGGGATGCGACGTGCCCCGGTTCCAGAATATTTGAGGGTGCGCGAGTCGACCCAGTGCCGCGCCGCTGATCCGCCGCCCCTATAAATAAATATGGTCAAGGTGACACTTTCGCGCGTTTTAACCCTCCGCGCGCGCGGGCCGCCCTCTTCCAGTCGAATATCGCAATCGGGTGCGGGCGAGTCTCCCAGAATTTTTCTGCCCGTTAAATGGTGCGCTGGCGGAAACGATGTCGGGCGATCAGTCGCCTTGGAAAGGGACGCTTACCTAAAAGCAAGGCTATCGCATGTACAAAATGTGGTGCAAAGGAGCAATACAAAGGCACAAAGATTCCCCGTTATGAGTTCTTTCCCTTTTAAGGAAAGAAATTTACAACTTCAACTCGAAAGACATGAAATTTGACCCGCTAGACACACTGACCCTTTTCAGAGTGATCGTTTTCAAGGCGACCCTTTTTTCGCAAAAATAAGATCTGTAAATAGACCCTTTTCTATTCCGGCTTTTACATCATGACCGCCAGTTTGGAAATTCCCCGTTATGAGTTTTTTCCTTTTAAGGAAGGGAATTTGCCGCGTTAAAGCGGCACCGACTCGCTTTCTTTTCCTTTTGTGACTCTGCGACAGATCGATATCTTACAGCTAAATGACGAGAGATCAGTTTCTCGCAAAATCCAAAGCATCCGCGCGTTCACGCAACTGCCCTGAAAATAAATTTGTTATTTAATATTTGTTACTACTGAAATTATTTACTTAAAGTTAACATTTTTACTCGACGTCTGTTAAATTGAGAGAAACTTAACTTTGCCGTCGAAACATTGAGAACGAAATTGTACAAAGATCCTCGAAGGAACGTTCATTAATTAAAACAGTAGTCTAGCTCGCAGTTTCTTGCATTCAGAAGGAAATTGTTTCACATATCAGTGCATTATAACTGTGAATCAGTGAATATTCACTGTTTTCAGTGATAATCCACCGATTGCCATGTAGAGAGTACGCACGACCAACGAAATTATACCTGAGACACGAACGTTTCTTCATATTCCTGAGGACGTGTGTAAACGTGTGTACATCCCAGATTCTTTCGCGGTGCTCGTCGCCTCAAGCTCTTGCCACCTTCAGGAAAATACCTGAAATGAATTAATACATTTAGCATGACGTACAATTTAGTTTGTTTTTAAAACGAAACCATTGACTTCTTCTCCATTTGTGGGAATTTAATCTCTAGATTAGATACAAGCTCCAAGATCTATTTTAATTTTGCAATAAATCGTGATTATTGGTCTTATCAAATTATCGGTTGTTTCCGAGGGGGAAACCGCTGAGGGCATTGTGGTGTACAGATTTGCGGCATTCCTGGGCATTTTTGGGGCATTATAAAAATAAAATAAGATAATAAGATAAAGTAATGCCCACTGGGCATTAGTGGACGTTAGTGTACAAGATTTTGGTCAGCGGTTTCCCCCTCGGTTGTTTCCATTACAATTGTTACATTGTTTTTATTTCTTTGAACATCAAGAATTATTTGACGCCAGTACACGACTAACAATAATTAAGCTTTCAATCGACCATAACTGGTAACGTGATTTTAACACAGAAAATTTATCCCGAAAAATATTACCTCGGCCAGGGTTTGAACCTGAACATGTATCGAATATCGAAACCCTGGCTGAGGTAATATTTTTCGCAATAGATTTTCTGTGTTAAAAACACGTTGCCAGTTATGGCCGATTGAAAGCTTAATTTTCATTTCTTTTACTTTCGTTATGTTATTATCATATAATTATCGTGACCGATTTTTTTCCTCTAACGCTCTCGCGTTTGTTTTTATAAGCTTTGCCGACAGACTGTTTCTGTTAATAAAGAAGTGAATAACATATTAGCGCGTTGAATTTGAAACGCACGTCATTCGCATGGTTTGAAATCCAATTATGTTATCGTGCGCAGAATCTTTTCTCTACCGGAAAATCAGTGGAATTTTTCTCACATCCGCGTAACATTACGTTGCAATGCTCGATGTTCTGTTATCGACTTTAAATATACGTCCATCGCGTTTTTATTTAGACGCTCATACGGAGCTTGCGCCTGCATTATCGCTCTCGTTGTCTTCGCGGAGAATCTTAGGGTCAACGTCTATCGCCGATAACCTTTAACGATCTATTTTTAAATTAAATTTTTACAGAAAGCTTTCCGGCTTTCACCCGGCCGTTCGTTACGGCGGATGTGAAAGTAACAAAGCTGCAAATGTTTATGCCAACGAACGAGTTTGCGTTCGAGTCACGTCTAACTTGAAATAATCGCGACGATCTTTTTAAGTAGAAAAGGAAAAATATGTACAGACGAGAACTTTGAGATCTAATAAGTAAAATTGATTTTGCTAATAAAATTATCGGTATGTTAATCCATAAATTTTCTGTATTAAAACACTGGCCGGTTAATGTCGACTAAAAAAGCTTGATTATTGTAAAATAAATAAAATTGTTCCGATGAGGGACACGAGATGGAAAGTTTCAAATTCGTTCTCGTGCTGATACATTAGTGCAAGTTGCATATTTCCGTCGTATCTCGAGTCGTTAACAAATGAGGAACGTGCGGAGAATTCAGTGAACGTTATCGCGGTAAAAGTAACTTCTTTTTTTCGTTTATCCAGCCGCTAGTGCCATGCAATCGAGAAAAAGCTACAATTATCGCTAATGAATGAATTATCGGGCGACGATGTGTCGGCGTGAACGAACGTTGACGCAACGGCGCGGAGGTCCACGTGCAGAGGTTTTCCCCTCGGGAGGCACATGGACACTTTGCAGATTTGCGGGAATTGTCATCGCGCAACGACGCCTTCCGCCTAATAGCGATGCACAGCTCGAAAATAGCAACGTCAGCAGACGCCAAGCAAATATCTTTTAATAACCTTCATTCTTCGCTGACCTTCGCTCGTGTGGTGCGAGTTCGCTCTTAAATAACGTCATAATTATCTGCCGCAATTAGCGGAGCAAAGCAATTAAAGTGGAAAGAAAACAAAAAAAAAAGGCGAACAAGTGTGCGTCACCCTCTTGTTAATCTCAAACGTGCGTGCTGTTATCTCCGTTTGGTGGCCGCCGAGATCTCCAATATCACATGCAGCTGTGCGAGTCCTTCGCGAGGAAAAATCGGTTTGCGAGCCGTTAGACCATCGCAACGACGTACATCGTCGGTTAGACGAGTCTTAAAAGAATGCACGGTTAAATCCGAGGGGTAAACCGCTGGCCAAAATCATGTACTCCGTTTAAAAAACGAGAACAAATTAACCGAGGGGGAAAACCGCTGACCAAAATGTTGTACTCCAATGCCTGCTAATGTCCAGTGGGCATTATTTTCTCTTATTTATTTTGTTTCGTGTTATTTCACCTCGTTTTATATTATCTCATATTATTTTATCTTTATAATACTCCAGCAAGGCCTAATGCCCAAACTGATGCCCAGTAATGCCTAGTAATGCCCACTGGGCATTAGTGGGCATTGGTGTACAACATTTTTTTGGTCAGCGGTTTTCCCCCTCGGGTTTACCCCTCGGTTAAATTGTTCTCGTTTTTTACACGGATTTCACTTTATTTTATTTAAACGAGCTTCCTGCTCTCATCGGGTTGAAGATCATCTATTGATCTTTTTAACCCTGGATCCGCTATTTATTCCTCTTCCTCCGTCCTCTCTCTCCCCGTGTGAGACTTTTCAGAGTTGTCGCTTAACGATTTTTACACCCGTCTCGGAAAAAAACGCGCTATTTATATATTAAATAATGTTACGAAATGTCGCGTGGATGTTACGGGCGCGTTTTATTACACGAGCACGGGCCGTCTCGGGGAAATGCGCTCAAGATTAATAAAAATTCGCGTCGCTTCGGCGAAACAGCAACAATCATGCGATTATTTGTCATGTTCGCAGCGAGAGCAGCATGTTTGTGTACAAACGCAGACTCATACTGAAGACCTGCGGCACCACCACGCCTCTGCAGTGCTTGCAGCCGCTTCTGGAGCTCGTTGAGAAGTACACTGGCTTCGACGACGTTGAGGTAAATGTTATATCACGATTAGAGGAAAGTCCTCTGTTACGAGATAGACTTCTAATATGAGATAGCAGGTTTTCAACATCAAATTTTTATCACGAATCTTTACTCACGATCTAACAGACAATTTTCCACTAAACAGATTTCACTCCAAGGGCAATAAATTCACGACGAAACCAATAGACGATGCCAATTAATGTAGCGAAAACCCTGCTGTCTCATAATAAGGGACTCCTCTATTTAGCGATCAGCAGCGCGGTGCATTTAAAAGATAAAATTTACGACACACACACACACACACAATTCGTCGTCGCGTGTTTAACGGCGCGATATCGCGAGGAGAATTTAAGCGACAGAGACGAAAGGTATTAGACAATTGAAATCGTTCTCACTCTTGTTCTCCCGTGGTAGAGTTAGCTTGATATTTTTCTTCCACGGAAATGTCACCTGAAAATTTAAAGAGGATAGATATGCGTATTTGCGCAAACTGAGGCAATATTGCGTTATGGTGTAAAATTAGATCTTACATCGTGCAGGATCTCTAAAGACAGAACTGCAAGATCTCTGGAAGAAATATTAGTAATAATAACAAGTAGCAAGTAATTTGTGAGAAATATTATTGGGCACTTGAATAAGTTCTCGCTGTTTCCCGACAGATTGTGTTATCTTAGTTTTTTGCATCAGGCAACGCTACAGCCAACTTCATCGTGAAGCCCCGTAACAACGTAGTTTTCCTTAGCGTTAAACATGTCGAATTTGGTGCCCATAAAAAGAGAGAATTTGCGGGGAATTTTACTGCACTACTTTAAAAAAAAATCTGCAGCCGAAGCACATAGAATTCTTGCGGAGACTCACGGCGACCGTGCTCTGTCGGAAGCAACACGCAGAGATTGGTTTAGACGATTCAGAAATAATGATTTTGATGTTGAAGGTAAAGAACGCTCTGGCGCGTCGAAAAAGTTTCAAGACGAAGAATTGGAGGCACTACTCGACGAAGACCCGTGTCAGACGCAAGCTGAACTTGCAGAATCATTAGGAGTTGATCGCCAAACGGTTTCCAAACGTTTGAAAGCATTGGGAATGATTCAAAAGTTTTTCCACGAAAAACAAACAGCGAGAACTTATTCAAGTCCCTAATAGCAAACATTGGCGAATATATTTATGAATATATAACATTTTTTTAATCGGTATATTTCGTATACCAAAAACAAGCATAGATTTTACACGCGGAAAACACATTCCTTGAAATATCTTTCGACATCGAGGTCTCGTATCAAATTTCGTTCTACAAAGATTTATAAATATCGATAGATTAGTTTGCAAACATTTTATTAAAAAAAAGAAGAACTGTCGCGTCCGACTTCCGTCGGGCACGTGTCCGTTTGGCGGATTGAACGCAGGCGACCGCGATAAGGGGATCGGGCGCTCCTTTTCTCCCGACGCGTAGCGTCGCGCCGCGTCGTTCGGTCTCTGGAGGAGTGCTTAGCTATATAACTTGACCTAGTGCGCGCGGATAAGAAACGCGGGCTCTATATGTGTCCCTCCGCCACGCGCGAAACGCGTCTCTCTGCCGCCTCCTTGGTTTATTGATCTCACCTATCTCGCCGCGACATACCTGGCCTCTCCCTCGCTGTCCGAAACGCGTGTCCGCCCGCCAGCGTTAACCAGCCGCGCGCCGCGGATCTTCCTTCCCTCCGCTAACGTGCCCTTTTTTCCTCCCCTCGTTCGTTCGCGAGCGGACGAGCCTCTTTTCTCTCACGTCTGTCGCACGTCCCCGAGGCACGGCTCTGCGCGAAGATCGGCACTGTTGAAATTCGAACACGCGACTTACTTCGGTCCGATTCCACCCCACCCCACCACCGAGTCGCCGCGGAGGGCGCGAGATTTGAATCGCGGATTTAGATCGACCCACTTGCCATCGAGATATTCCGCCGACTTTTTACGTAATTCCCTCTTGTTTTTTCGAGATCGTCGTGTGCTCCAATTATTGCCTAGTTATCGCCGGGAGCGATAACCGAAATAAAAACGTATAATTGCAGATATTTTTAAGTATTCCTCGGCGTGATTAGCGTTAATGAGGCGGTGGTAACTATAGTATTGTAATCGTAGCGCAGTAAAAATAATGACAAGAGTCGCGAGCATAAAACAATATGTATCGAATCTGCGCGCTATTTATCTGTTATTGCTATAATTGTCTTTTTTTATTATTTTTGTCGCCGTGTATCATCGTCGCTATTGTTATCGTTTACGATGAAGTCTTTGAAGTATCTGAAGTGAATAAATATGAGATTCTTACGTTTATGTCGCACTTTCAGAACGTCTTTTACTCCCGGAAGAATTACAAGAAACCGGAGATCCAGATTTCGCCGCACCAGACGTTCGAGGAGGAGGTCGCTCTGCTGGATTCCCTCTTTCCTGGTAATTATCAGGCGCACAAACCTGCATTTTTATCATACGACAAGGGAAAAAGAGACGAGGAGGTGGCAGGAAAGTAAATTGGAATTGAGCACGCTAGGACAGAATGAGTTGACTCCACCAATTCGAATCAGTTGTCCCTTGTGTATTTTTTTTTTCTTTCGAAGCCCACGTCACCGCAGCTCTATCTCTGATTTCAGATGGCGAAGCTTACTGCATGGGCTCGCCAGAGACAGATTGCTGGTATCTCTACACTCTGATTCGCGACAAGCCATTGCAGGATCCACCGGAACCGGATCAGACCCTGGAAATACTCATGACACAGTTAGACCCGGACGTGATGTCAATCTTCACCAGGGACGTCTGCTCGTCCGCCGACGAGGCGACGGTCAAGTCGGGGATCGACAAAATTATTCCCACTATGATCATAGATGATTTTCTGTTCGAGCCGTGCGGATACTCTATGAATGGGATATCTAAAAATGTAAGTCGCGAACGTTGAGAACGTCGACTTTAAGCAAATATTTAGCCGTAACGTTGGAGGACAAAAATTTCGTACTGTAGTTGCGTAACTTGTAAATGTTTGAAATAATATATCACAGGAAACATATTTCACAAATAACACGTGTGTACAATTTTAATGATGGAATCAATGTCAATATTGAGATTATTTACGTATCACCAAACATAAGCTTGCGTTTGGAAGAATTGAGTGGAAGAATGCGTGTACATATACTTGACTCGTGAAATAATATGTGAAGTATTTCATTTCATTTTATCTCTTGTAAATATTTTAGATATAATTACGACTCTCCTGGTGCCTACTTGCAACCAGAAAAACAATGTCACTCTTTCCTTCTAACGTTGCAATCCGATATAACCGAATAATGAGGGTGGGGAGGAGTCTTAATCTACGATGCACTGCGATATTTACCTTTTTCTTCTTTTTTTTTCTTCAGGGCAGCTACATGACGATCCACATCACGCCTGAGCCCGAGTTCTCATACGTGTCGTTCGAGAGCAACATCTCGGAGACGTCATACGACGAGATAATCCGCCGCGTGCTGAACACCTTCAAGCCGGGCAAGTTCGTCGTGACGATCTTCGCCAACAAGCAGTCCGCGGCGGCCAATTGTCCCCGCGAGCTCGAGACGCGGACCGACTATCTGAATCGCTCCGGCAACTGGTTGCGCACCGACGTGCAGTACTGTCGTTTCCCAGACTACGATTTGACCTGCGCTTTCTTCTCGCGCTTCCCGAGCTGAGGGTTCAAGGACGCTTCATTCGTCTCGCAACCCGGGACCAATGAAGCGCGCACCATCCCCGTTCCTCCCTGCCTCCCTCCCCGTGATCGCCATCGCGACGGCGCGATGACGATCCCGAAGAGCGGAGACAGAGAGCAACGCTCCACCCCCCCGCAGTCACCCGCTCTCCAGGGTTGTGACGTAGCCAGCACTATCCCGAAGAACGTAATCGGAGCAGACATCACGGTTCGCTCGGCGTCGTTGCCGCAACTCACGATGAAGATCCCGCGATCCAAGGTCTACCGCAAGACGTCTCTCAAGAGTCCGTTTCTCAAGTGCGAGGTCGACGCCGGGGCCGACGGTAACGGCGTTGTGCGTTACATGAGCGTCGCCGCGGAGAAGAAGCAAAAGAGGAAGAGCCTCGCGAGCAGAGACGCCGACGTCGATGCGAGATGCGAGAAGTGGAGTCCGCGGTGGGGTCCGGAGGACATCCACATCACGTGTAATCCCCTGTCGACGCCCTATCCATACTCGACGCCGGCGGCGACCACCACGACGACGACCACCACCACCGTCACCACCACCACCACCAGTAACAAGACGACGGCGCCGACGACGGTAGAGAGCGACGAGGAGCCCAAGAGCCGCAGCTGCGGCAGCTTTCTACCGATACTTGCTCTGATCCCGCACTCGGTCATCAGCTTCCAGTATCTTAGCCCGAAGATGAAGTTCTCGTGGTGGCGGAATAAGATCTCGTGAAGACACGCGTAGACGCCCACCGTCGTCGCCGTCGACGTTGTGCGTCGCGACGCCACCTCGACCTGTTTATGAGATGGCATGCCTCTCTTACCTCGTAGTGAGCTCTGTCTCTCTCTCTCTTTCTCTCTCCTCTCCCCCTATCTCTTATACACACATATATATTTCTCTCTTTCTCTCTCTCTCTCTCTCTCTCTCTCTCTCTCTCTCTATTTCTATGTATCTCGCTTCCGGCCAGTCTTCATTAATTAAAGGAATCCCAAAAGTATCGTTATCTCGCAGAGCCACCCATATTGACAGCTGACGCATTGGAATACGCGAATTAGTTGCTAGTTACGAAATTCCCATTGTCGGAAAGATTATATACCTCGTTATATAACGTGAACGCAACGAATGGAACGCACTGGAATGCGTGACATTTTCGCGATAGTCCTCTTACGAGTTTCCGCGCGTAGTCACGAGGTTTGGTTCCGCGAAATGTTTCTAGCAATTTTGATGTAAAAAGGTGCGACCGTTCGAGATCCAAGACCTAACAGTCTAGGATTAGGCGGGATTCGCGAACTAAGGAACCAAACTGACTCTCTGCGGATATAATACTGTAACTTTTGTAACAACAATCTCATAGTTCTTTCGACTCGCCGAAGAAAAGTGTACGGTGCTTGTTACATGTGCACGCGGCGTTTTTCACACGTCGTCGGATCCTCTAGTCGATCAAAGTTCCTCCCTCGTACGCGTTGCGCTCTTAACTTGTGTTTTTTTTTCTTTCGAAAATCTCGGGGAGAAGTACCCAGTCCCCGCGTAGTCTCCGCAACACTCTAGGAGATATCTGAGCAGGCCGGAATTCAAATTCCGTGCCATTTCAGACGGACAAGCAGTCGTGCTTAACGATACAAGTTTTCGGTCTTTTTACATTCGCGCTCATTCTTTCTGTTTTTCTTCTCGTCGAAAATGTAGAGCTATTCCAAGATCCTAGAGTATTTAAGTGAGACGCAAAAAAATTGTCTGTAACCCAAAAAAATCTAACGATCGTAGAACCTAAGGATCCACAGTTCCTAGAATCTAACACCTAATGATCCAAAGACCTTAGAATCTAAGTTACGCAAAGATCCTAGAACGTAAGGATTCAGAGATTCGTAAAATTTAAGGAGACACTTTAACGTTGTTAGAGCGTAAAGATCCAGACTATTTCGCGAGGATGCGAGATCCAAAGCATAAAGTCGAGCATTCTCGAAGATTCTAGAATGTAAGGATTCAAAAGAGACATTATAAAATCTAAGCGTCTAACGATCGGACATAATATATCCCCCGATTTAATTGGAGTTCCCTCTGGCGAATGTCCTTAATTATAGGCGAGCGCCGTTACGGGCAATCGTAATTGTCGAGACATTTAAAGAAAACAGGGAGGAATATGTCGAGAAAGCTTTACGTTACGCAAGATTAAAATATAACGGAGAGAAGAAGAAATAGTTGGATACGTCTCGACGACCGATCTCTAAATTTCTCTGTCGAGAGAGGTCGATCGAGCCACGCTGGAAGTAAAAGAAAAAAAAGAAAAGACATTTGTCGTCTATTTTGTTACATTGTACGCGCCGTCATCGCGACGTCGCGCGAGTATCTACGCGAGCGGAGGGCGACGAGGTCGATCTTGTCGGCGATCGTCCACGTGGCCGTGGTCAGGAACGGTTGTGCAAGCGGTTGTGTCGATTACGTCTGTCTACCGAGATGGTGAGACCGCAAACGCGAGAGATCCAAGTGATCACCGGGCGACGAGCGTCGCCGTGGAACGACATCAAACATATTTTTTATCGCTCTTTTTTGCGTTTCCATTTTTTCCCCCCGTTTTACGTTGGTCGGCGTAGCGACCTCGGGACGAGAGAAGACGACGAGTCGCGCGCGAGACAGTTTGTTTCGCTCGCGGCTGAGTCGTTCCGACCGTTGGTCGCACGCTGGATCGACCCGCAAATCCGACAGACTCGTTTCTCGCTATAATTTTTCTTAATTTACGATCTTGGTTCCTTTTTTTTTATTTCCTTTTTTTACCGAATTGTACAACAGAGTGATACGTTACTGTTGCTGCGACGATGAGATCGAAGTTATCATTCGCGGAGCAACAATTTCGTCTCCTGTATGCTTTCCGAGTTTAATAAATCATTTTCTTAAACATGCATCTTCTGTTGTGTTTCTTCATTTTATCAAGTTTCCTTTTTTTCCCCCCACCCGCTTTTACCTTAGATTTATTTAAAGACACGCTCGTGCAATTTCCGTTCACTTATTTTCTACTTATTTCTGTTTTAAAGATCATACCGTTGGATTAGATTGGAAATATTTTTCTCGATTTACATCGCACGTTCGCCGATTTACACGGAAAAGAAAATATTGCAAACAGTCACAAAATCAGGGTGAGATATTTTCTTAAAACGTTATACATTGCAAATCTTTTTTACGAACATTTGACTCCCTGTTATTTTCCACGATATATTTTATATTGTAGAAGATAACAGGGAGTCAAATGTATTATCATTATACTGATAACGATTTTTCGTCCCCTCCCCCCTATTGTCATTAGATTCAACGACTTCTATTAAATAGATGAGTAAGATCAATCGATGTGCGATAATAAGATAAGCGGTTAACGAGAGAGTACAAATAATTAATCGATATAAAGAATTTAATCGATAGCGATGTCGATAGCATAGAAAAAAAGAAATGAAATACGCTGTAACACATCGTGGAGTGTTACTTTCAGAAGCATTACTATTCGTTGCTAATAGATCACTGTTGCATGCTAAAGTAAATAAATTTTTGTGTAAAATATATCTATATGAAATAAAGATTATATTTAGTCAATGAAAGTGTCACGCACACTTTATTGCTCGTCGCGAGCCTGGCCTTATCTCCTCCAAGTTTCCAACTCTCTCGACTGTTTAAACTTTTCCTCGTGCCAAAGTAATCATTTATGACCTAAAAAAAGAGTCGTTCCTCGCTGATGAAGTAAACTGAAATGTTCACGTCGGAATAAAATGGTAAACCAAGTGGTAAACTTACGGCGGCTGCTGTGAAAGTCTTAAATATCAGAGAACTCGGATGGAAATATTTTGTTGAAAGTATTATGAAATCAAAACGAATCATAATTTTCCTTATAAAATTCAATGCAATGCTGTGAAAGAAGAAAAGTTAAAATGTACTGTTGTAAAGTAATAAAAAAAAATTATAAAATTCACAAAATTTTTACTGAAACAATGATAAAATGATAATGAAACAGGGTGACTTGCGAGAGATTTTCAAATATACTTGAGCACGAAATTTCACTATTTTCAATAAGACATTTCCATCAGGAGAGATACGTTTTATTTATATTCACTTTCATACATCTTGTTCTTCTCTTGCTCTGTTCCCTTGACATCCCTAAAATAATTAATATGCGACTAATATGCGAAAATTATGGCAGCGTACACTCAAGAGGAATTCGTTTCAACCCTCTCGCACAGGACATCGAGGGGACAAACCGCCGTCGTTAGATCGTGATATTCGACTCCACGTGCTCGTGTTGACTGATACGCACACGCATCCCACCGAGCAAGGCGTTAAATCTGGACTGAAAGCCCCTCCGCTGTGCCATTTCCGCGCACTCCTTCGCTAACGCGGACGTGTCCCCCTTGTACTCGTTTCGAATTCTGTCCAGAGCTGCGATGCGAAGAGCGAGTTTAGCTTCCAGTATTCTAAGACGTCTTCTCAGAAGTTACATCGAGATGAAAAAGAAAGGGTGGCATATCGTTGCAGAGTATAGAAACTTGTCTTGGCGCAAAGAGCTTCATAAGCAAATACCTTCCCTCTCATCTGCACAGGAGTCTTCATAGAACGTGGGCCAAATAATCGAATAACTTTTTCCCCCCATAGAAGTGACATATCTCTTCTGTCCTTTTCGTATTTTCGTCATTTTATATAACGAATTTTAAGACATTTATTCCGTTCACATGCCTTCCTTCCTTTCCCATTGATCAACTAAATCACATCGAATGTTCGTAGCTATGAATCTCCAAAACGGTGGTTGCGTCGTTACCTTTCTGCAGATCCATCTCGTCCATCTCTGTGTTGCTGATCTTCGAGAGCTCGTTCCGGAAGCTCTTGGTGATCCTCTTGCGAATGTAGTCCGCCTCGATCTCCTGCTTCGTTCGGGGCACGCGGAAGCGGATGCAACAGCACAACCCGACGACGATGCTCAGCAGTGCGGAGAGAACAATGCCGGCGAGCTGCCAGATGCGAAAGCCCGGTAACGCCTCGTTCTCCAGCCACTGCTGCACCATGTCCTCCACGTCGGCCTTCGTCGAGGCTTCGTTCGACGCGCTGGAAAACACGGACGAGAAGGTCGGTAGCGTCGTCTCCTCCATCACGATCCGAGCGTTCAATTTCCGACGGTATCCCAAATGAGATTTCAGATAGCTCGGTGTCCGATGTATCCCTCCTGCTCGAAACGTCGGGTCCTATTCCCGAGAAAATAGGATTTTCGAGAGCCTGCAATCTCCGGTTCTAATTAATTAGCTGCGTGATAGAGGGCTTTAATCGTTCCGTCGGCCTTATCGACGCACATTCGATCCTCGGCAGGAGACTTCTGACTGCCGGGAAAGTACACAGCAGTATCGGAGACCTGGGTGTGGTTCCTTAATTGAACGTGTTCCGACACTCCCTATTTCACGCCGCTTACTGATTACAGATCAATACTACAGGTACGGGAGTACTTTTGTGGATTGTTAATGTTGTTTTTATTATCTCTCACAATAATCGGATGTATAGTCATTAAGTAGACGATAAAAATATCGAAAAAGGGAACAATTGCGCTATTCAACAGTACTTGTCCGCCCGACAATTCGTTCATCGAGCCGTAAATGCAATGCCAAAAGTAAAATTGCAAGTAATCACTATCTTTCCCTCGGTGAGTTTTCTTTTTCTATGTCAGTTACTTCTGGCGATTTCGAATAACGTTGCCCCAAAACACTTTCCGACGAGACTCAATAGAGAATTTCAACATATTTTAACGTTCTCTCGAGGATACTTGATGATTTTATCTGAGGGATATCATCGCTAAACTGTATTCGATGTACTCGTGAAAGCGCCAGACGTAGAATGTCGTAACGTATAATAAATTGTTTCAAGTAACAACCAGTGTAATATGCAATCGAATTCAAACCTCTCGAAGCGAAGTACTGTATACGAACCCTAGGTCACTGTAAAAATCGGTAAAACGTTTTTGCAACGAGCGATGGCTTTCGTAGTAGCAGTAACTGTCAACTAACGGTACACGAATGCAACTCCGATTATCCTTTACCGGATAAACGGGGCGTGATCGCGTTGATCCGACGCAAAACCGATTTTCCTTTTTTTTATCCTCTCCCTTATTCATTTAGCACGGCACTACGTCTTTCCGAAATATAGGGTACTGTTCGAGAAACAGGTTGAAACTCAAAGGTCCGAAGCACTTAACTCGCCGATGGCGGGCGAGTTGAAGGATGTGCTTTTGCGGGGACTCTCACTCGCAGGATGTTCCCAAACGCACCAGTCGCGCAATAATCCTTCGCCCTCCTCTTTTGAAAAGTGTTAATACTTTCGCTCCTACGGCACGTTCATTCTTTCCTGATGAATGTTCGTCCCCTGAAGAGAATTACATGTTTAAGTAAATGCAGTAAATCTTCGACTGTAGAACATTGCAATAGAGATATGCCTTAAAAGAACATATTTAATCCTAAATTTGCAAGAATTTTGAAGACTAATATGCGAGGCAATTAGTAGCGCCAATAAGAATTGCGTAGACATAAAAAAATATTGATTAATATAAAGAAATTCTAAATAAATATAATCGTATGATCAACTACATAAATATATCAACTGTAATAAGTACAAATATTTAATCGTACAATCACATATTGTGACATTTAATTATTAATAAATATTTGAATCAGTCAAGATCAACTTGCCATTCTCGTCGCAAACTTAATCTATAATGTTTTGCGAGTAAGAAACCTACGTGATAGTCTTCTTCTCGGTGCTTTTGGATTGAGATCTCGCTCTGTTCAGCACTTTGAGGAAGTCTGTTGTCTTGGTGCGCATTCTCGAGTGAATATAAACTTTACTGCACTTAATATGATAGTGCAGATAATTCCTAAACATGTGTATCAGGTCGATGGTGTTGTCGCGAGCCTCCCGATTGGTATGACGTGGAAACAGTACTGTAAAAGTATAAAATAAATGCGAACTCAAGAATAAAATTATACGATAATCTTGTACGTTTAGCATTAAAATATTTCGACACAGCAGGAAGAGTTACGCAAATACGCGTCAATAATAATGACTAAAACTCTCCCGTAGTCTTCAATAAGTCCTCAAAATTTCAGAATTCGCTGACAAAGTGGCATATAAATCTTGTATTATTACATCCTGAAATCTAGAAACTTTTAACTTGTAATAAAAAAATTGTATGTCGGTCTCTTTTAATTTTTGTTAAGTATCAACGGAAGGATGCTCGTCCCGACGTTCGCGTCGACGAGCAATTTGACAAGCGCGAGGAGTGAACGTGAAAGTTTTCTTCACCGAACGTGATGTAGCCGATGCACTCTCCGACCGCCGCCTCGGAGTCCTGCAACTCCAACGGCGGCTCACGGTGATTGAACAGGACTTGCGGGGCGGTGTGGCTCGCGCGCCTACCCTCTTTCAGTTCTTGAAGGAACAACTTGCCGATGACCATATCGTCTTCGTCCTTGAATATTGTACTGAACACTACTGTGACTCTGTCGCTCTTAGCCTCCACGTACCTTGGCGAGAATTAACGGAGCGGTTAATAAAAATCGCAATTGGTATCGTACGCACATGTAAATATGCCTTACATCGTTTCCTCATCCCGATATTTAATTACAGCTCTCTTCTGCACTGGCCTGCCCGGAGAATCGCAGTACTCCTCCTGGAAGTCAAAGTATTTCTCGAAGACACTGGCGAAGCAATGCCTCTTCAACAGGGCAACTTTCCTTACTAGCGCCTCCCAATCCTCTGGTAACTTCTCTAGATCTATGAGAACCGATACGTTGTAGCCTGCAACGATTCGAGGCAGTTAATTACTTTCGTTCACGAGCGCGACGGCCGCGAGATGATTAAAGGGAACTAACCGCTCTCCGGTGCGATAAGATGAGACCCGTACTCTCGTTTGAGCAATTCGTCTGCGCCATGCTCTTGCAACTGTTTATAAAATTTGAGCAAGATACTAATCTGCAAAAGAAAGCGAATGTTAGAGAATTGTTGAGCGTTGCGTCGGGAGAAAAACGTTTGCGAGAACGTGGACTCACTCTAAGTTTCGACTTGTCTCCGCTGAGGTTCGAAATATGAAACAACACCCCGTCGAAGTCCGCTATGACCACATCTGTCGACTCCTGCTTGTGTCTACGAGCAAAAGACATATCGCTGATGGAAAATACATCACGGGACTATCTGACAAGATTTTACTACTGCGACGAATATAGACGGCTCTAGAAATATGCTAGACGTAAGGTTTTGCGATTTAAAAAAAACATGATGCGAAGCAAAGCGCGAAGAAACAATTGGAAGAGCCGACGGGAGAAAAAATGGAGCGAAAACCTCTGCTTTTGGCGAAGCCACTTGAATAGACGAGATTTCACAAGTAAAATCTAGATAAGCTAACGACGAGTCAAGAAGGCCTGGCCTACAATGAGTCATTAGTCGGAACTGTGTGTTGATCCTTTTCCTTCTTGGGTGGAAGAAAAAGGACCGACACACGGTTCCGACTTCTGACCAACGACTCATTGTAGACTGATAGCGAAGCCGACAGAGAAAGATTTGGCTCCACGGGCGATCCCGGGGCGGACGAGGTCCCGGGCCTGACGGCAGGCAAAATCGGAGGAACAAGGGAGAACGAGAGAGAGAGAGAGAGAGAGAGAGAGAGAGAGAGAGAGAGAGAG